CTGCCAGGTTTAGGGCTGCCGGGGGATCTTCCCAACCCAGGGATTGAGGCAGTCTCCTGCATTGCAGGTGGATTCTTTACCTACTGAGCCACAGGGAAGCCCCATCTGAGACATACTTATATTTAAAAGCAGGCTTCCCTCGTAGCTCAGATGGTAAAGAATCTGCCTGCAATGCAGGAGACCTGGGTTTGATCCCTGGATCGGGAAGATCCCCTGGAGAAGGAAATGGCAACCCACTCCAGTATTCTTGCCTGGAGAATCCCATGGATAGAGGAGCCTGGCAGGCTACAGTCGATGGGGGTTGCGAAGAGTCGGACATGACTTAGCGACTAAACCACCACTGTACATTTAAGAAATCATTTATTGTTCATCTTAAGTTCACATTTAACTGTGTTTCCTCTATTTTATCTGGCAACCCTATAAACTAATGAAGTAGGCATCTTTACAGGGTAAACTCAAACCAAATATTAGTTAGATGTGGTAAAATTATGTTTTTATTGGCATTCAAAAATTTTCTGTGTAGTAGTGAAATTCTAATAGAGCCAGCAAGTTAAATTTCAATTCCTTCCTTTGAGACTACAACTTAGAGGAAATTTATTGTTGTCTTTTAACCAGAGATCTGACAAAATAAAGTCTTGGATTTTTAAATTTATTCAAGATTATTGGCAACTCCTGTGTGCATGTTCAAATTACTAAGGATAAATTTATACCTTCTCCTGATCATTGGTATGATTAGAAGAGTCATTTTACTTCTGATCTTGAAATTTGTCTTTCCTCTTTGAAAGCATTTTGGATGTTGGAATCTCACAGTTCTTTTGGGGAGAGGGGTTTACTTGAGGCATTTATTCTAAAAGTAAAAATTGTACATTTGTAATATTACTTGTAAGTGAGGACTTTTATAGTATGAAGGCAAGGTTCTAAGGTCAAATACCTTCAGAACAAATTTTGATGGATTCTGTATTTTGTCCTAAGTCTTCACAGAAATCAAATTTTAGTTCATTGTGTAGTTCTTTGGCTCTCACATTATTCTGGTTGGCTGGATCAGTGTTTCTGGTTGCATATGAGAAAACCTGGAGACGTTTTTTAAATGTTTCATCCCTAGCCTTACAAGTCTGGGAAGTAGTACCTGTAAAAGCTCTCCCAGTGTGTTCTAATGTGGTCAGGGCTGATAAGCACAGAACTAGCTAGACTGTAGTTCACAGGGACAGTGATCAACTTACCTCTTTTCTCTTTCTCTAGTCCATTTATAAATATTTATTGGATGAGTGAATGAACAACTCACTGTGAAAGCAGATGTAGGCCCAACTGTATACAGCGCTTTTTACTTTCATTTGTTGGTGAAAAATTTACCTTTGGCACTGTATACACTTTAGGAACATCAGTCTTCAATACACAAAATAGGCAGAATCTGGCAATGAATTTATGACCCAACTGGATTTTTGCCAGTCCATATAGAGAAGACAAAGCAACTGGAAAACAATGGAGGCAGCCATGTCTCTGGGGAATTCATGTTCTGGTCTTTTTAAAATAAATGCCCCCCTGTAGATCTGCATCTTCCTGGACTGTTCTGATTCCTGAAAGATTAATCTTATTCTTTCAACAAAGTAATTTAAATTTGTTAAAAGTATTAAAAAAGCAGTTTAATTTATTTACTTCCTAAAAACAGATTTATGAATCTAAGAAAAAAATGTGCTCTCTCTCAATGTGATGTGGCAGCCTGGATGGGAGGGGAATTTGGGCAAGAATGGATATGTGTATATCTATAGCTGAGTTCCTTCACTGTTTACTGGAAACTGTCACAATATTGTTAATCGGCTATACTCAATAGAAAATTAAAAATTTAAATTAAAAAGAGAAAATAGCACTGTGCCTATAGTAATTAGAATAGGTGACGTTACCAGTGTGAATCTGGGGAACGAGGATGATACCTGGTGTTAATATGTTACATGTAAAAAGCTAGACTCCCCGAACCCTGGGATGTCATGTAATATGTCCCACTATTTTACCTTCACTGTAGAAGGTGATACCTTCAGATCTAATCAGTCGCTTGCCTAGAACTAATTTTTCTTTGAAAACTTCCTGGACAGTAATTAGAAGAGAGGTATATTCATTTCTTTCTGGCTCAGCTGTTGGGCTACTGTTGGCTCTTGTCGGAGCGATATCACTTCTGCGGCCCCCTGTGATTTATGGCGGGCCCGTCTGCCACTGGTCCCTCTTTCCTCCTTCCCTCACTTCCTCTGGCCTGGCTTTAGTCCCATTGAGCTTTCTCTCTGAGACCGAGCTAGTGGCCACAGCACTGCCGACAACCACAGAGAAGCCGCAGGCGGTTCTGATGGCGCCTGCTTGCGTAATTCTTGTAACCGCCTCCTTGTGTGGAATTGCCAAACGTTTAGAGCACCTCAGAAGGAAGGCGCTATGTAGACACAAGGTATGTTTTACTAGTTGTTTATTTGTGCTTATCATTGATAGTTTAAAATTTGAGAGCATTAGCAAAATAGTTGGGTATTTCTTTGGAGTTGAGACCTGTGTTTTAGGCTTTTTAATATTAGATATCGTTTCAGTGTTTTCTGTCATATATGATTTTAAATTTCAGGGCTTTGAGTTGAGACCTGTGTTTTAGGCTTTTTAATATTAGATATCGTTTCGGTGTTTTCTATCATATATGATTTTAAATTTTAGGGCTTTGCACATTTCTACTTGATTGGAATAAATAATTTTCTTACTTATTTACCTTTATGTTTGGAATTGGAATGGGTGCAAATTCTGGTGATACAGTACCTAGAAATAGAACTCTTTGTGGATAAAATTCTTTTACTATGTAATAGGGCAATAAACTTTGATTTGCGCGTAAGGGAAATAATAGCACATTTTCTTAGCCAAAAGATAACAGGTGTTCTGTATTGTTGGTTTTGTTAAGGGGAAAAATGCTTAATTCTGAAGCTAAAGACTAAATCTAACTGGCACTAGTATATTCAGCTTTTGTGAGGTGACACTTGAGAACCCTGTATTCTGCAAAAGACACCGTTGCTGTTTCTCTCCCCTACACAGCAGCTGTGCGTAGTGAGCACGCTTCACAGTAAAGACTCAGGAAACTTCCTTTCTTGTTTTTGTGAGATCTTAATTCCCAGACCAGGGATTGAACCCGGACCCTGGGCAGTGAAAGCACCAAGTCCTAACCACTGAACTGCCAGGAGGTTCCCTTTTAGGAAACTTTCTTTATTGTCTGCTAAAGTCTAAGTTGTAGAATCATTTTTAGGCTGATATATGAGGTAAGAGTCTCAGTTTTATGACTTCTAGATTTAATCATTTTGAGAAAAAGCACATTTAAATCAAAACATACATTTCTAAAATGACCTCAAAATTTTAAAATGTAAGCCAAAAGTGGAGGCTCAAATGCACTGGTGTAGGTATTGATATCATATATAGTTTTAGACTTAAAATATAACATCTTTTATAAAGAATTTACATGTATGTTTACATAGGAAATCATGACCATTTGAATGAAGAAATGAAAGCAGTATAAATTTATAGGGCTACTTCAAATCTTCATCCTTCAAAAAAATTTTTTTCTGTAATGTCCTTGGAAGCCAGCTTTATTTCTACCAAATCAATAGTGAACATAAGCAAGTCAAGTGGCGGTATTTTGCTTATCGAAGGGGCGGGGAACAGTCACAGAAGCAAGGAGATGTGAAACGGAACGCAGCTTTTCTGGCAGCACTGCTGAAAGCGAGTGACCTCCAGGAGGCTCCCAGGCCTTCAGTGGTGAAGCAGCCACCTGCGCGCGCAGGAGATGCAGGTTCGATCCCCAGGTTGGGAAGATCCCCTGGAGAAGGACACGTGAACTCACTCCAGTATTCTTGCCTGGAACATCCCACGGACAGGGGAGCCTAGCGGGCTACAGTCCTTGGTTAGGGTGGCAAAGAGTCTGATACGACTGAGCACACACGCCTCGACTGGTGGTGGAGCTCCCATTCCGCCAAGTGCTTTAGTTTAGGCTGAGAGTGTCACACAAGGGGAGAGTTAGGTCTGAAAGTTTCTTCAAGGGTCCAGAGTATCATAAAAGGAGCATAAGACGGGAAAACAGACACTAAACAGACTGGAGCTTTGTTTCTCAGTTTAAGAGGCGGCCTTATAAGACTGTGATAGTGTATTACACGCTGGAAAACATCCACGGTCACTTTGGAGTGTGTGCCTGGGAGGGATGTAATGCTGTCTTCTCTTTTCTCTCCTGTTCTCTGTTTTCCATAGTTCTCGTTTCAGTTATTTTTCTGTGTCAGTCTTTGTAGGGAAGTCCTTATCTCCACAATAACTGTCACACCTTTGATGCATCTGAACTGTCTAACAAGTCTTCCTTTTGCTGCTTTGTCAGCCTTGCGTTTTTACTAGCTCTCTCAATGTCTGAACTAGATGCTCTCCTTGGCAGCAGATTTTCTAGTTGCTTAGGCTCTGAGGTTTGCCAAAGAGCTAGAACTGTTCCAGATGACTGGAGTATCAACTTATGCACCTAACATGCCTCTAACCTGAGAACAAACTTTAAATAATTTCCAAAGTTTGCTTAACACATGCCTTCAGCAAATTGGACTCTGTGCTCAAGGTATATACTAGCCATCCTTTGTTTGGTTCCCTGGCAAGTGACTCTGTGCAGGGCTATCTTAGGAATTTGGTTGGCATTTCTCTTGTTCTTTGTTCACCATTGACCAACATGACCGTTGCTTCCCCCGCTTTTGTGACATGGGTGGCAGGAAGGAAGGGAGGAAGGAAAGATTGGGATCATCGCCAATACCCGATGGAGTGGGCTGGATTTGGAGAATGCAGAAATGGGGCCCCTCGTCTTTACTTCCACTTAGACCCGCTTATCTTAGTCACTAACAAGATATGTTTCTACATTCCTAGGATGTCTGGAGTTTGTGAGTGTTTATTTGTGTTATCCTTGGGAAATGTTCACTAACGCCTGCTTGGGGTGTGAAGGTAACTTCTATTTTCTGATTTCTGAACTTCAGGAGAAGGTAAAGCTTGATGCTGAAAGGGAAAAACTAGAGAGGCTTCAGGAGCTTTACTCCGAGCAGAAGACCCAGCTGGACAATTGTCCTGAGTCCATGAGGGAACAGTTACAACAACAACTGAAGAGGGTCAGTAGCAAACAGGAATGTGCTAGCTGTTTTTTTTGCTTTTTTCGATTAAGTTCCACTTACCTTTGACTTCCTCCTTCACATAGTATAAATTTGCATAAGCTCTGTTCATTAGATAACGTTTTAAATAGAAATATGCATGCTGACAGTACATATTATTCCTTGCTAATCAGTTATAAAATTCCTTCTTGGAATCCTTCACCTCATTAATAATGCAAAAACATTTCGAGTCCTTCTTTGAAACAACAGAGAGCTATCACTGATAGGTAACCAACAAGACTGTAGCATTTAAATCAGCTGACATTGTTCCCTGCATTCCATTCTCTACTGCATCTTGAGTACTAATTTCCCTTGAATTTGTTGTTTCCCCCCAGCTTAATTTTATACTCCTGTCACAAATTTTTCTATTTTCTGGTTTGCTTCCCACAACCACTCATCATTTGGTTTTTCTTTTCCTTTCTTTTTCTTAGTGGCATTGAAATCATTAGCATGATCACAATAATCAAACAAGACCCAAGATGCAGGGCATTCAATATTCAGGCTTCATAATTTTTTAAAATTTTATGCAGCATAGATTTTCTAGTTGAACTTTATCAGGTTATTCTTCGATCTTTAATATTGGCAGTGTTGAAATGACCTTGCTACCTGACTTCCTAGGTGGATAGTTTTGTAAACACTAGGAAGACCACTTAATATTTCATAGCCTCTTGACAGCTGGTTATTTGCTCTAAATAGTAGCCCAGACAGACTGTGACTATGGGGAGTCAGTCACTGACAGTTCTGGATCTCTAAGGGAGTATAATAGTAGTTTGTCCTAAATAAGTAACATTTTATGATTCCACGGGAGTAAGAAAAACTAGTTTTACTCATATTACTATGTTTGTGCCTTCTTGGGAATGGGCAACTTGGTAAAAATCAGTTAAGATAGCATACCCTTGAAAATATTTAAGATGACCTTGAATACAAAAATGCTTGATAACCCTGAGTATCACTAGGTTATGGAAAATTATAGTTGACGCTTTTCAATGTGTTGCACAGATTGATAGTATCTTTCAGTATAGAAAGAAACCAGTACAGACAGGTTAACTTCAGCTTAGCAACTCTAATATTTGTAATTTATACAATGTTGGATCAAAAAAATTTCAAAACTGTCTCTTCCCCTTCACTCATTTTATTGTGTACAGCGTAATTTGCTGTAGGAAGATAAAACTTCCTGTCCCTCAGTGTCCCAATTTGCTGAAAGTCTTATGATAAAAATGATTGGAAAAGGAAAAGTATTTGTAAAATTATTTTAGTCTGTAGTTTTTTTTTAATGTGTTTATGCCAATTCACAAAAGAGATTGGGAAACTGTTTTTTTTATATTTGTTTACTATTTTTCAACTTTCTTTATTGCTAAAGAAGTTACACAGTCACCTTAGTGCTTTTAGAGTCAGAAGCATGGTTATACATTTTGTTCTTCCCTTCCTTTAGTTATCTAGTTATTGCTTGTATTCTTTATAAATATTCAAATAAAAATTGGCAAATTCTATTAATAACTTGGAGTCAAGCATAATATAATTAGTTTGCTTAATGTAGATTCTATAAGATAGCTCATAAATATGTGTATGTTCCAAGGATACAAAAGAGGAAAGGAAATGATGCAGACAGCCTATTCCACTAATCGAAGGCAAAGACTCCTTCCTCTTCCTTTCCAAGCAGACTGCAAAATTTTTATCATAAAAACCCTTTCCTTAGGAGAGAAACTGGCTTTTGCTAGCTTGTGTTCACCTGATATTAAGAGAGATACTAATTCTGTTTTCCAGAGATGGACAATGACCAAAATGAATCTTCATCAGTCCTTTGGCTTAATCAGTAAAAAGTTCACTTATTTCATGAGAAGTCCATTCATACTGGAGCTTCCTGTGTTATCACAATTTGTTTCCCTTCAGACTTCAAACACTCCAGAATAGCACTTCATTACAGAGCTTTCCCCAAGGCATTTAAGCTAAATTCAATAATGTTGATTTTATTACAACTAACTTCATTAGGTGACAAATCAGACACAATAGAAAATAAATGAATAGGAAGAAAATAATTTTCTTAGCCTGTATGCAATCTCAAATATGTGAGCCAAAACTGTAAAATGATTTTGTGCATATAAGACTATGGATTTATGACTGGGCTTCTTAATTCCTAAATCCTTCCTTTAGAGGCAGAATACAGTTTTCATCCAATGTTGATTTCATGGCCTGTGATTTAATGCAGTTGATAATTGGGCTTACCAGTCAAATCATAGAAGTGATATGAGAAAAAAACGCTGAAGATAAATGAGCCTTTCATTTGCTAGCAGAGGCCTAGCTAGGATGGTCTTCTTGTGCTTTGACATTTATTCAGCCGGATGGTTGAGTCTGGTCTCTTGATTAAAAAAAGATTCTATTGAGTGACATCTACAGTGAGGAGACCTTTCTTGTTTTCCTCACTGGGTCCACAGTTAGCTTATCCTTTTCTCTTGGATAAGTCACTCGGCCTCTGTGGGCCTCGGTATCCTCATGTATAAAATGAGAAGCTTGTACTAGATGATTTTCATTGTCTTTTTTTCCAAATTCAACAAAGTATGCAAAAAAGTTTTTGAATATAGCGCATAAAGACAGAGAAATAGTAACACACTCTTAGGAAGTTTATCAACTTGCTTTCAGAGTTGCCCTTATGCTGTCATAAAACTATTCCTGTAATATCTCCTGCCCACACCATGTCTAGTCTCTGCTTTCAGTTCCTCTACGGAAAGAAAGCAAAGAAAACAAGTTGTGCATGTAAACTTCTGCCATGCATGCTGCGTGCTAAGTCGCTTCAGTTGTGTCTGACTCTTTGCGACCCTATGGACTGTAGCCTGCCAGGCTTCTCTGTCCATGGGATTCTCCAGGCAAGAATCCTGGAGTGGGTTGCCATACCTTTCTCCAGGTGATCTTCCTGACCCAGGGATCAAAACCACGTCTCTTAAGTCTCCTGTATTACTAGGCGGGTTCTTTACCACTAGCTACACATTCTCAAAAATGTTATTGGGAAGAAAAAATGACTTTTGCTGAATTTTCTTTAACACATCTGTTTTATTTCCTTTCACACCTGGCCTTTGAACTTGCAGCCAGTAAAGACTTGTCGTATTCTTTTAGTGGAGAAGTTTAGTTAAAATTTTCATTCAACTAGTCACACACTTGACTTTGAGCTTTCTGTGTATATTATTCTGTGCTCAATTAAACTACTCCTGCCCCTAAATTCCATCTCTTGAATACTTATTCTTATCTAGAATCTTGTAACGGTTTTTTTTTCCCCCTCCCAAGTTGTTTTTCTTTCACAGTGTAAGTTTATATACACACATTTCAATGCTTTAGATAACTTGATCAGATGATTACACCAGAGGAATCTGAGGGCTGAGCTTGGGTTTAATTTTAAACTTTCCTGCCTAATGTGCTGTTATTTTCATACAGTGGTTTAAATATTTACTAAAAATAAATTAGTGACTTTGTGACCTTCATGTGGTTAAAATAACACATGTTGCGTATTAACCAGATGTGGGGCAAGCAATTTACTAGCATAGTGTATATATTGTGAGCCATATGCCCACTTTGAATAAAGATTCTTTATAAACAAAAAAAAAAAGAAGCCTTATTAAAATTTTTGTCTCAATAACCTTTAGCCACAGGCCAAGTTTAATTGAAAGTCTTTAAAAACTTGAATATGAAAGCTTCTCTGAGTAAATATATCACTGATGTTTTAAGACTGCAGATATTTTGTTTTAAGACATAACATTAGAGTTACATGTTAATTCCTTTAGTAACAACTATATTTGGTCCAAATTCATTAATTCCTGTAGAAGTTATAAGCATGAAATCTCTGATAAATTTGAAATATCACCCAGTTACTTGAAACCAAAGCTGCTTTACATTTTGCCAATTAAAATGTAAAGAAGTTTTGAGAAATGCTTAATGTGTTTTTCACCTTGTTTTTTCTTGTTCGTAGACTATGAGAATCCACTGTCTGTGTTGACATAATAATCTTGTTGCTATAGTGCTGGTTGTAATTTCTTGGTAGCTAATAGTCCTTTTGTGAATCATCCCCAGAATAAAATTAATTCCAGAAGATAGAAAAATATTTCATTTAATTAAAAGGTTTAATTTATCACTTACATGAAAATCAGAGGAGGGGGTAGTGTGTTTAAATACTGATAATAGACCTAATTTATCACAGATTTATCCAACTCTCTTTTTTTTTTAATTTGAGCAAAATCTGTACTTTAGTTAATAATACTGTGTCACATTTATTTTTCTGTTTTTTTAAACCAAGATAGTATTTCTTTATATTCTCAGAATTGAATAAAAAGATTCAATCCTAATTCAATTTTTTAAAAATCACTAAGATAATAAACTTTCTAGACAGAGCAGTGATACTAGATGCCAAAATACATGAAACTATATCAAAGTTTTGAATAAATATAAATTAGAAATCTAGTATTCTATTCATACCAAGTCAAACAAGTGGAACCAAAATGTCATAAATTTTTTAGCAAGGCAAAAGTTCATGTTTTCTAAAATATATGTATCATATTACACACACATACTATATATGTGTGTGTGTTTGCACACACGTATACAAAAGGTTTTCTACTATGCTTGATAAAGGGTTGAGAAAGAACAACACAAAATCCAACTCTTTTTAATGTGTTGATTGAAAAAATGCCCTGGCACTTAGAGCTATGAGTCATATAGCCCAGCTGCCTGTTTTGGGGGGGTCATTAATTATTTATAAATTATATATTTAAAAAGAATCTTCTATACATACCACATTCTACAGTTCTGTCAAAAGCTCCCAAAAACAGAAAAGGCTTTTTGTTTTCTTTAAGTAGACAGGAGAACAATTCATACCACGTGCACCAGTCTCTGCTCAGGTCTGGTTTCACCCCTGTCTCCAGACATCTCACACGTTGGAGGATGCCTCTCCTAGACTGACTTTTACGGTTTCTGTTTGTTCTTAAATGTCCTGAAGATTACTCCTAGACTAGCCCTGCTTAGCCTTCTGAGTCAGTCTTAGTGCCTTATGAGCTCTGTGGTTCCTACTCTTTCTAGTAAAAAGGTTTGCAAACAATTCTAAGGGATTAACAGAAGCCCATATAAGAACTCCAGTCTTCAAATGTTTTTGATGACTTCTCCCTTCACTAAAATTATTTGAGCATGCATTCCTATATGTACATATAGGTCATATAATGTTATAAATACATGTATTATATGTATTCTATGCATGCTCAAAATACATATATTCATTTAAAATAATCTTACATGTTATTTTACCTGTATGTACATTAGAGAACATTTATTGAAAAATTGAAAAAGAAAAGGAAAAATTAAAAATAAATATAAAGAAAGTCTAATATTTCTTTCTCACATCCCAGTGCCTTGTGTTATGTGCCATTTGGAGTACATATATTCCCCTTAGAGACCTCTGATCTGTTATATATGCCAACTTTTAAATCTTTTTTTTAAGGTTCATTTTTTAAAATATATTTAGTTTTAGCTGAAGGATAAATGCTCTATAATACTATGTTGGTTTCTACAGTGCATCAACATGAATGAGTCACAGGCATACATAGGTCCCCTCCCTCTCACCTCCCACCCTATCCCTCTGAATCTTTTTTTTTATAGTAAGCGACTTTGGAATATTGAATTTAGTCTTTATGCTAAAATCTGATTTCATCTGGAAATTTGTGAAAAATAGGAAGTTTCTCAAGAGCTTATGTCACATCTTTGGTCTGCAGATAATGTTTAGGTTATTTATTGCATTCTTTTTATATTTCATGATCCATTTTAAAGCCACCTGGTAGAGTTAAAGCAAGAATTCCTACAACCAAAGAACAGTCTAAAACCAATGGTGAAATAAATGCCCCCCTCCCACCCCCAGCACAGTCACTTTCAGTTTCATCCTAGCCACCACTCTGGAGTTTAACTCCAAAGAGATGATTATCATGATCTAATCCTGGTCAGTGTTGTAGCTGGAAAGATATTTTGGACTTTGTGCTTTTATTAATTTTTCTTCACGTTAAGAAGGCTTCAGCCATTCTCGTATGTCTTGTTTTCATTCCCTTTTCTCCAAAGGATGCCGACCTACTGGATGTTGAGAGCAAACACTTTGAAGACCTGGAATTCCAGCAGCTTGAGCGTGAAAGCCGTCTAGATGAGGAAAAGGAGAACCTGACCCAGCAGCTCCTGCGTGAAGTGGCTGAGTATCAAAGGAACATTGTTACTAGAAAGGTACTTTTACCAAGTGTTGTTCAATGTAAAAAGTCAAAATATATATACCCCTCGCTATGAGACAATAGTGATTGTTAATATAGCTATAGCATGTGTCCATTTGTCTGTATACCTGTTATATCTGGACATCTTTGTGTCTTTTGTTACATTTGGCGGATCATGGAGCCTGCCACATGCATGCCAATTGGTGCTCCAAACTAGATAAGTTGAGACTTGGTATAGTCGGTGTTACCTGATGCTGTAGATGTATTTATGAATGTCTGATTCTTTTGTGTGAAAACCAAGGTAGAGAAAATCAGAAATCTAGATATTTATTTTAAATTATTTGCTTTTGCAATCATAGTAACTTGATTTAAAATAATTTGTTGAAAAGTCTTTTGAAATTTCTGTTTCCAGACCCAGTAGTTTTCAAAGCTGGCTGATAGTTTATTACTATTAGAAGCAGCCTTGTGGAATGCTATGCAAGTGACTGCTTCCACCCAACCCTGAGCACCCGGATGTCGAGTCCCGAATTCATCTCTTGTTCCAAAATTTATAATCCTCACCACAATGCTCTGTACTAAACCTATAAAATTGAGGGAAAGGACAATGGAGAAGGTGACACTTTCAGTTTAAACAAGAAATTCCATTGTTTTTCTTCCCATGAGGCATCTCCCAAGGTGAAGTCAGAAATTCATTTATGTTCTAAAACAAGATTTCCCATTGACTTATGGATACTTGAAATACATTCCAAATTACTTGGTCTTAGGTGAAGAAAAGCCTTGAGCTTGTGAGTTCAAAGGAACTGCTTCACAGTCTGGTAATAATAACTGCGTACCTAACACTGGGTGGGCTTCCCTGGTGCTCAGCTGGTAAAGGGTCTGCTTGCAGTGCAGGAGACCCCATTTTGATTCCTGCATCAGGAAGCTCCCCCGGAGGAGGGAGAGTCCACCCACTGCAGGATTCTTGGGCTTCCCTGCTGGCTCAGATGGTAAGGAATCCGCCTACACTGTGGGAGACCTGAGTTTGACCCCTGGGTTGGGAAGACCCCCTGGAGGAAGGCATGGCAGCTCACTCCAATATTCTTGCGTGGGGAATCCCCATGGACAAAGGAGCCTGGCGAACTACAGTCCATGGGATCACAAAGTGTCAGCAAGACTGAGCGACTAAGCACACCTAACGTCAATGAAATACGGTCACTGCACCTCTAGTGATAAATACTCCTTCTCCCTTTCTCGGGACAGACAGCAGGGTCTAATGTACATCTTTCTATGGTTGGTTTTTTTTCCTCCAGGAAAAAATTTCTGCATTGAAAAAGCAAGCTAATCACATTGTCCAGCAGGCTCAAAGAGAACAAGATCATTTTGTGAAAGAAAAGAATAATTTAATAATGATGTTGCAGAGAGTAAGTATTTCATTTCTGTACTGGTGACAGTAAAACACAGGTTCCAGTTCAGGGAAAGTTGCTTCCATCAAACCAACTGCCTTTTAATGAATGAATTATAATTTAAGGAAGGCTTTTCTATATACATCTTTATTTAATCCTCCACATTAATAAACTGATGCTCTGAATGATTAACTGTAATTCAGAAATGAGCAAAGATATTTTCTTCATGCTTTTTCCACAGTGTGAAAGTCCAAGCTATGGGAAATCAGTATGTTTTTTGATTTTTTTCTTTAAAAAAAAAATCTCATTTTTCATCAAATAGGTTAAACATATTCTGCTCTTTTTGCTGCTGTCAGACATTTTGGCTCAGTTGCTCTGGTGTTTTGAACTCTAATTATTTGCATATAGGTCTTCTTGGAAAATGCCACATTGGATTTAGTTTGGCATAATTGGTGAGGTGGATGCCCCGTGTGGGTGTGGCAAGGTCATCCTCATCACAGGGACTGTGTCCCCGTCCGCCCAGCCTCTCATGTGCTCCATGTAAAGGGTTTCTTTTGTCCAAACTGCAGCCTAATTTTCTGACATAATCTCTTAATTTCAGGGATAAGAGACCAAACATTAAAGTTGATAGGCTTAGTCTCAGGACTGGGCCTTGCATGCAGGCCACTTAGAAATGGGACACTTGGGATCATAAAAACATGAGATGGACTCAGAGTGGAGTGCAGGAGAGAAAAATCTCAAATGATGGATTAAAGACAAGGCTGCACCATGGTCCCATCCAGAAGAAATGGAGTTGGAGCACTCATTCCCTTCTTTGCTGCTTAGCCATGTTTAGGTTGAGAAGAGAAAACACCCTTCACATGCAACCATGAGTCACTTACAGTGCTTCTGTCACCCACGCAAAGCCCTGGCAGTTCCCCTCCTCCTGTTCTTCAGCACCTGGTCATCTCCAGTTGAAGCTGGACTTTCCAGCCCCACCCTTGGCTCTGGGGGTGAACTCTGGTGCTCTTAGGTTCCCCACGGCCTTTTGCACACAAAATTCAAAGGCACAACTTAAATTCGATCATGTAACTTATAATATTTAAGTAGTTGCTGAAATTTTAGCAAAAAAAGAAAAAAAATCTTAGTGATAGATTTTTAATGGGTAAGCACGAAGTAGAAATAAGATCTCCTTGTTAAACTATATAATTCTGTTGTAAAAACTATGCCTTAAGATTTTTGTTTTCCCAAATTGACCTATAGCTACACCTCAACCCCAATAAAAATTCCAGTGATGCTGAAATTTGCAGTTGATCCTCATTATCCACGCGCTCCATGTTTGTAGCTCTCCCTAGTCACTAACCTTGGTAACCCTGAGATCAATGGTTGTCACGCAGTCATTGGTGGACAGGTGAGCACAGAACAGTGAAAAGTTCAAGTCGCTCAGTGCACATTCACATTCTCAGCTGGGAAGTCGCTCAGTGCACATTCACATTCTCAGCTGGGAAGTCGCTCAGTGCACATTCACATTCTCAGCTGGGAAGTCGCTCAGTGCACGTTCACATTCTCAGCTGGGAAGTCGCTCAGTGCACGTTCACATTCTCAGCTGAGGTTGAACAGGACGGCGCTCTCCCTTCTGTTTTGCTCTCATGCTTGAACAGAGTCCTTTTTGTAGAGCGTTTGGGGCCATGTTTTCCTGTTTTGTGCTTTTCATTGGTGATTTTACTGTTTAAAATGCCTCACAAGTGCTAAAGTATTGTCTGATGTTCTAAGGGCAGGATGGTTGTGATGTACCTCATGGTGAAAATACATGTTAGATAAACAGCTTTCAGGTAGGAATTAGAGTGCTGTTGGCTATGAGTTTAATGTTAATAATCAACATTGTCTATTAAATAAGTTGTCTTTAAATGGAAACACACATTAAGACAAAGTTATGTAGTGATCAGTTGATGAAAATATTGTGACCAGATGCCCACAGCAACCCAACCTTCTATCCCTTTGGAACAGTGGGTCAGTGTTCAGTACTTCGGTGTTCACGGCAACGTTATAGAAGGCAATCATCACAGATGATGGGGATTGAACGAATATGAAAATATAAAGGGCATGGCATAGCCAAGACAGCTTTGAACAAGAACAGGGTTGGAGGATTTATACTATTTGCCTTCACGTTTTACTGTAAAGCTGCAGCATTTAAGAGGGTGTGCTGCTGGCATACAAATAGACGTATAGATCAGAGGAACCGAACAGAGTCCAGAAATAGACTCACATATACTCTCTATTGATTTTTGACAAAGGTTCCAAGACAACCCAGAAGGGGAAGGAAAGTCCAGCCTGTGGTGCTGGATCAACTAGGCAAACAGGGAAACAGTGAATCTCAACACTGTTTATCCTCATAACTTGCGTATAAATTAAGTGGAGACAGATTGTAGACCTAAACATAAAAATCAGCAAGATAAAGTTTCTAGAGAATACAGGTGGGCAAGTATACCCTTCATGACCTCAGAGTAAACAAAGATTTCTTAAGGAGTAAATGACAGAAGACTTGTATCCAGAATGTATTAGAAACTCCAAAACTGAAAAGTAGTAACAAATAAAATTTTAAAAACAGACAAAAGCCTGCAATTGAAACATTTCACAAAAGAAGTTACATGAAGAGTCAGTAAGTCCCATGAACGAGTGACATTGTTGGTCATCAGGAAACTACACAGTTGACTCAGCTTAATAGATTTTGTGTTTCTTCAGGAAAAGGAAAATCTTTGTAATTTGGAAAAGAAATACTCCAGCCTCTCTGGGGGGAAAGGGTTTCCTGTCACCCCCAATACTCTGAAAGAGGTAAGCTGTGATTTTACATGTCCACTCCTTATCACCATAGAACTCAGGAGATGTACCTCAGCTTTCTGGGATTAGCTGACTGGGAAACATGAACTGAAGTGACTTCTGAAAGCACTCAATGCTTTGAGGTTTTCCTGCCTTTCCTGATTTATGCTTTGAGAATTTCAGGGATTGTCTCTATGTCTGATGCAGATGCTGTGTGTGTGTGTCTACACTTTGCTTAATAGTGATGCTGTGGGTTACTTTGGGGTTTCAAACATTTAGGATCCAAACCAAAACTAGTCTTAATACCTCTTCTTTCATCTTGCATTTTCCTTTCTCAGTTTCTCATCTTTCCTACTTTCTTCTCTTTTTCCTACGTCTTCTGGGACATGAAAAGCCCCAGACATCTCTACCCTTTCCCCCCATGTTGTCTAGGTTATTTTGCCCTAAATTCGAAAAATCCTGTTTACATTAAGCCATACGCCCTCTTTATCTCAAACGTTCATCTTTCCCAAGACCCCATCACCGCCCTTTCCAAAGTGTCTTTTTATAGAGCTACACTGCTATCATGGTAAAATATTTTAACTAATTTGGAAAATTAGAACCCTCACCAGAAAGAAATGGTTTTCTTCATCTTTTTTTTCAAAAAGCTAAAGAAAAAGCTTGCTTACGCATAAAATTTTTCGTAATAGCAAAAACCACTTTATAAACAGCTTTAAAAAGACAGCAAAGTTAGGAATTCCTTCATAGAAAATATTTTCTGTGTGTGTGTGTGTGTGTGTATATATATATATATATGTGTGTGTGTGTGTGTGTGTGTGAAGTAAATGCTCGTCACATAATAGGTGTGACTTGATATGTACTGATACGTACCTTGGAAGCATTTTGTGAAATGTTTCCACAAAAGCTTTATTAGACCATTCAGTTATGGAGTTATTAGAACACAGAACTGGCAGATTCACTTTATGCAGATTCACTGCATAAAGGATGCTTGTGAATGGAGTGTAGAGGAATAAGATTATGTCAGTGAGGCGGGCAGGGGTCGGCTCTTGTGAGTCGTGTTAAAGAAATATGGTTTGCTTTATGTGGATGGGAAGCCACTGAGTGGTTTTAAGCAGGGAGGTGACATTATTTGAGATCCGTTTGTTAAGATCATTCTGAGCTGCTCTACCAGATTATAAAGAAGAGCTGCTGGAAAACTAGTGTGGCAGTGATTGCAGTATAAGCTGGAAGTGCTGGTGACTTGAATTTGAACAAATAAAGAAAGATGGACAGAACCAGCTAGATGCAGAAATGCTTTGGAGGTAGAGTTGACAGTTCTTGCTGATAGATTGGATGTGGGAGTGAAGTCCGTTAAGGGCATTGTCAGGAATGCTGCTGTTAAAAATTCTAGTTTGAATAATGAGGTGGGTGGTGAGTAGCTGTTACTGAGATGGAGAAGACTGGGGAAAGAGTAGGTCTAAGTAGACAGGTATGCAGTTTGACTCTGGACATGAGTTTGAAGGGCTTGTGGCTTACAAATGCATTAGATAGGGTCTAAGGTCTCTTTACCTCTCGGAAGAATGAAATCTTTCCCTTCCTATTAGAGTCACTCTTTTTCTCTGCAGCCCTCCGGGCGTTGAAAGCCCATTTGGTGTTTTGACTGTATTTGTGTGTCTGCAACTCTCCTGTTTGTTGTGTGGCTATGTGTTCTCTTCCATGTCTAGCAGACTTGGCTCAGAAGATGTTTTGATTTTCTTTCTTTCTCTCATCTTTCTCTGTCTCCCCCCACTCTCTCATTCTCTCTCTCTTTTTTAAAAGAATGATGAATTTATATCCAACTCTTTTAAATAAGTCCCACTTTTGAAAAATGACATACATTTTTAAGCAATTAATTAGTTTATTACAGTTAATACAGGTATTAGGTTATTACAGTTATAATAGGTTATTATGTGAATCATATAGGAATCAAATTTTGGTTTTGAAAGAGTCTATCAACTTAGCCAAAGAATAACTCAAGTTGCTACTCTTCATTCTCATTCATTATCAGAGATAAAATAAATTTGAAAACCCAATTTTCAACTTCCTTTCTTAAATTTAATCTTATAAAACTTTACATACTACCTATTGCCCCTTTCTGAAGTGCAAAACTAAATTCAGCAGGATTTTGATATCTTCAATTTATGAACAGTCAACTCTGGTTTTCTCTACTTGGCCAGAATTATAAACTCTCAGTGAAAATCTTGTTTTCCAGTCTGGGATTTTTGCTTCACCAGCATGACAACATCTTACCTTTCCTGGAGCCACTGTCTGAAAGGATTGCTGGACAAGTAGAGCTCAGATATTAAATTCAACACAATTTACTCTTCAAAGGGAGCTGCTCATTTATACCCTTTATTCTTTTTTCATACTATTTTATTCATGTAGTGAAAATATGAATGGTCTGTACAATTACTTTCCGTGGTAATTTACAAGGGCCTTTTCCTCAAATGTAAATTCAGAAATTTTTATTCTCAAAGATTTTGATTCGTGGGTATGTTCTCTAAGCTGAAGCCACAACTGAATCACTGAATTTAAAAGTAACTGAAAATTCCCTGTCCTAGAGGGAAGTTGCCTTAAACTGAAACACTCTTGAGCTGCAGCTTTGCCTTAGGGGTGTGTGTGAGTATGTGCGCACGCGCACACGTGTACACTTCTCTTGCTAGGGAAGGCTCACAGGAGAATAGTGTCCTTTTTATTTTCATTTTGTTGAGATGCCTAAAAGCTAGATTCCATTACAAATAAATTACTGCTTTATAAATGTCTTAGTGCAAAAGTCAGTAGTACTTGGTCTATATTTATTCACTCTAGTTTGTCAGGCAACAGAAGAAACAGAGAAAATCTTAAAGATTTATGGAAAAGTCTCTTGAATGCGAGAGTGGTTGCGTTGTCGGTTTCATGTCTCAGATTTATTTTTGTGTGTGATTATTTTAAGTGCTGTGTAGTGACAACCTTATTCAGTCAACAGAATGAATGCTGATATGGATGGATATTTTTAAATCAAAGGTATTGGGTTATTTATAATAAAGTCATTTTGATTTTATCTGAAAATTTACTTTTAATGTTGGAAATACAATTTTTCAAGATTAAGCATCATACATCCATTTTAATAACTGATGATTGCCTTAATGAAACATTTGATAATACCACAGATATCTGGCTGTGATGCTCTGAGCTAACTCCATTGTCCTGGAGCATTAATACTCTTGCATGCTTCAGCTCTTGCTTTCCTCATGTGTAATTTATCAATTCCTCCTTTTAGGGCTATATCATTGTAAATGAAATTAGTGAGCCATGTGGCAGTTCCACGAATCTCCCCCCTTCCACTCAGTTCCCTGCTGATGCTGACGCCGCTGCCACTGGGCCTACCACAGCTGTGCTGATGAGCCAGCCACAAAGTTCAGAGGTGTGTGGGCATGCCATTTCATTCATTCACTGCTTTCCTCATGTCAAAAATTAACCCATGGTTAACAAAAAGGTGAAGTGTGAGGCAAAGATATGTCTGGTTGACCAGAGGGCTGGAGTGATGCTCAGTTTGAAAAACCAATTTGGGAAGTAATGCTCTACTAATAATAACACTTGAAACCATGAAATATGGTACAGAGTATAGAGTACTAGGAGAAGGAAGTTCAGAAGAGTAAACTATATCTTAGCACTTTAGCCCTGCCTAGTTTTCTTAGAAACAAAGAGACTTTCTAAAATTGTAGGTTTGAAGCACCTTTCCAGTTTGATTTTATATTCGATTTTGTTTTACAGTACAGACTTCTTTTTAATTTTCTGCTGCTTTAAAATATTTGGGGAGAGACAAATAATAGTAAATTAAAATACCTCCTACTGATCCAAGTGTGGGATTTGAACACGAGGCTAATTACTCCCTGTCATTTATGACTCCTTGAGTAACATATAAGATAACAGAACAATGAGATTATCAATTTCATTTCTTCCTCTTATTCTTTCATTTCATATGGACACATAAATACTTTTTTTTTCTTCTTTAAAGCAAAGATCGTCTGTCTGTTCTGGATTTATGTTTCCTTCCACTCTTTCTTCTCATCCTATCACTGAACCTCCGTCAGCCCCTTGGCCTGAAGTCATGGCTCCCTCTGTCGATTCTTTTCCCTTAAATGACACACCTCCTCCTCTACCAGCTAAGAAACACAGAAGGCAACAGCAGCCGGACCAGCAGGTAATTAGGAACTGGCATTTAGAGTTTGGAAATTTTACCTTGACAACAAACTTACTGATGAGAAATCTTTTCTTCGGTTTTTCCAAAGATATTTTTTTAAAAAGATAAGGTTCATACTCCTTTTTTAAAAAGAACATTTGTTTTGTCCCTAAGAGTGTGGGGATTGTTAGAGAGCTTGAGACCTTGACTGTCCACTCCTGGCTTTTGATATGTTGGAGCTAGTTTCACATCCTCATGCTTCAGTTCCCATTCAATCAAAATGTTGCAACTTCAGGTATTTTTCAAAATCATAATAATTATTTCCATAAAATCCATGGTATACAAAGTTGCTAGGTCAACACAAAATATTTTCCTTACACATTATTGAAACCATAATAGTAGACACCATTCCTCTGCTGTGAGTCAAAACTTCCTTAGCATTTTACAGATGTCTCATTTCTTCCTTCTAACAATCCCATGAAATATGAACTATCTCTGTATTGATGTGTAAAGAACTGAGACTCAGTGTTGGTAAGCAGTTTGTCCAGAGTCATATCACAAGCAGTGCATTTGGTCCATAGAACAACAGTTTTTTATTACATATTTTAAAATAAATAATTTCTTATTCCAAACGTGTTGCCCTCTTTTGGGACATTTTGTGAATACTCATGAACTGCCCTGATGGCTCAGTGATAAAGAATCTGCCTGCAATGCAGGAGACCCGGGTTCGATCCCTGGGTCAGGAAGAGCCCCTGGAGAAGGCAGTGGCAGCCCACTCCAGTATCCTTGCCAGAGAATCCCATGGACGGAGGAGCCTGGTGGGCCCCATCCACGGGGTCGCAAGAGTCGAGCATGGCTTAGCCACTGAGCCACCAAACATTTTGTTTTGAAACTTTGAACTATAATCAAACCCTTACCTGGATTTGGCCCCAGAAGATCCTAAGGTGTCAGTCAGTAGGCCTCCCTAAGTAGGTGAGTTCTGGTCTGTTATGCCTTTCTTTTACCCTTCTTAAAGCTACCTTTCCTATCTATTATCTCTGGTTAAAGGACCATATCTCCTCAGTACTTTTAGGTTAATAAATATCTAGTATAAATAGATAATTGTTAGGTTAAAATGCAGATATTCTTCATGATTGAAATGTTGGAAGATTGATAGCAAATTTGATATCTCAGAGTTGCATTAATTTTTAGATATTTCGAAAGCCCGAGTTTAGTATTAAAATGATCCAACCTAAAGAACCTCTAATTAGGAAATAACTTTCCTATCAAAGACATTTTGGGGAAGGCCAAGAAAAATGTGGGTAAGTTTCAAGTTGGCAAAATGTTGCCTTACGAGTCTGAAGAAAAAAAAAAATGAAATGGTCAACAGGAGGATTTTTAAATGTGAGGGACCGCTGTGGAGGCTCCTTGGTCAAGATCTTTTTTTCAGTCTAGAAGGATGCCTTCTATGGAAACACTATGTGGATTTGGAGTGTGTTTATGTAATTGAAACAGGATTCCATCTTTAAGCCAATTTCCCTGTTTGTACTTTCTCTTCGTCTTCGTCCTTCTCCCGTTTCTTACTCTCCTCGCTCTGGGAGCTGTGCGATCACACAGAACTGTCCAGACAGACACGGGGGGCCTGCTTACATGCTTTGTCCACTGACTGTTCCGCCATCCACATGTCAGCCACCATAATCACCTGTAAGTTGTCCTGAGGCCCCAAGGCAGCCGGCACTACTGTCAAAGGGACAGGTGGATTTTTCTGAATTTTTCTAGGTTCAGTAATAAATTCTTCTCATATCTATGTGTCTTACCAAATGTTAGCCCAGGTCTCTTAGTGAACATAAGTTGAACAATTTTTTTCAAGTCTGTGTTAAAATTCCAAAGCTTCTTTGTAAATGCATACTTCTTAATTTCTTTAGTGACCTGTTTCAATTAGTCAAGTTTTGCTATTTTGCTTTACATTTGCACCTAAAGCATTTTAGAAGTCTGGAAGAAAGGAAAAAACAGCACCAGGAAGGCCTCTATCTGAGTGACACTTTGCCTCGAAAGAAAACCACACCTTCCATATCCCCACATTTCAGCAGTGCTACTATGGGGAGAAGCACCACCCCAAAGGTAGGACATGGGGAGAATCACGGGCTTCACCATCAGTGAGTCTTTCTGGCCTTAGGTTGACTGACATGCAAAGGCCTTAAAGATAATGCTCAATAATAGACCATTAAGTTTGCTTGTTGGGCAGACATGATAACTGAATTGCACTTTTTATCCCGTTCAGAGGACATTTGGAATTGTATGCTCTGGGACCAGAGCACCTGGTCCAGGGTATGTTCTGCCACCACCACACAAGTGGTGAGTGGCATTCATTTTCATGACACATGCCCAGGGCTGCATTCTAGATCTGGAAATTGGAGCATGTAAGCTCTGGATTCTAGGATTATTAGCAACAATATTTATTGGATCATTTCTTGGAACCTGACACTGGGCTATGCCTTTTAGGTATATTGTTTCACTGTAAAACTCACCAACACCATGCGGTAGAGGTATTAATCTGATTAGTGTCCCCATTGTACACATGGAGAAACTAAGGTGGAAGGAAGCTAGGTGAGTGGCCCATGTGTCCTCAGCTGGTTGGCACTGAAGCTGGAATGTCAGCCCATGTGGTGTGATGCCTGGGTCGCCCTTGTTCCTCTTCTGCTGACTTGCCTGAAGGGTCATGGCAGGATGAAGGCAAGGGCAAGAGAGAAGGAGGTTCCGAGTGGGACAGACGTTGGAGTCCTTCTCCTGCCCTTCATCAGAATAACTTTGTTTTTTATCTGTTTTATAAACTGGTGTTCCCAGAATGTTTTACCCTAGGATTTTGTTATTTTAAAAGAGTGCTAAAACCGCCGGGACAGCTAGTAGTATTCTCCAGTTTCTAGCCCACTTGATCGCTAGGAGCAGATGGAAGCTGGTGCCCTTGTGATGTGTGGATCGCCTCTGTCCTTGTGCATGACGTGCATGCATTCTTGTCCCTGCATCCACTCTCTGCCCCTGGCGCATGAAGGGCTTCTGAGTTTTTCTCGAAGGTGGGTTAGACAGTGTTTTCCCATCTGTCTTCGCTTCTGAAACTGCTCCCTGTGGAGGAACGGCTGTGACGCTGAGGCTGCTGCGAAGCTCTGGGCAAGTGACAGCAACTGGCCTGTCCCATTTAGCATCAGTACACTGGTTGCAAAGACCTGCCTTTGCTGCCTTCTGCGCTTAATCAGGAGCTAGGCAGGCAGCGATGTGGCCGTGTCCAAAAGGACCGTTGGCTTGCAGCTGGCCTGAATGTTTCCTCCTGGTTCTCACAGGGCCACCTGCCCCTGGGACAGAGCAACAGCTGTGGCAGCGTGCTCCCCCACTCACTGGCAACCATGGCCAAGGACTCAGAGTCTCGGAGGATGCTCAGAGGTAGGTATCTTCCAGGTCCGGGGTCATGCCCTTTGTCAAGCATTAGAATTTCTCAGGGAGAGGGAATCAGAACAGAATTGGGGGTCATTAGGCAGGGGATCAACCAAAGTCCTAGATGTCACTTTTTTATTTTTATTTTTTAAATCTTGTTGACGCGTAGTTTGCAGTGTTGTGTTAATTTCCGCACTACAGCAAAGTGATTCAATCAGCTTTGCTCTTGATGTTTCCCCTTAGAGGGGGAATGTATATATAAATCTCCTTATTGTTGTATCGAGATAAGTTTCCTATATGCACACGTGGCTGGTACATACCCATGACACTTTTTATAATTGCACTGGAACTCTCCATTCAGAACGGCCCCTAGAAAATTACTAACCTTCTTATCTGATTGAAAGAAAGAGAAAAAAGACCGCTGAGATCCTGACAGGTTACCAGGGCACTTGGCTAAGTCGCTCCCCTGGTTTGTGGCTGAGCCACTCTCCCACTGGAGGAACGACTCACTCACTGAGCTAACACAGAGGACCAGCGGCCCAGCAGACTTTCCTCAGGCCTTCTCATGTGGGTTGAACTTTAATGTGGTCGTTAGGTTTCAGGTAGAATTGGATTCCCAGCATGTTCTATTTCTTTGAAATAATACATTGCATTTCTAATGGGATTCTCAAGCAGTCTGTGTACGGCTAGAAGAAAATACTCTAAGGCAGTTCCAGAGGTGAGCTTCTTGTGAAGAAGATTAGATTTATTGTGTTAAAATGGGGCTTTAGGTCAACATATATTGGCCTTGACTTTTGAGCAGGTATGGTGCTAGGCAGCAAACATGCAAATAAATGACATGATCCTTGCCCTCGTCTCATGAGGAAGACAGAAACATAGCTGATCATTTCAATCAAATGTAAATGCAATGTTGGAGCTGTGCCCAGGATGCGAGTGGGATGCTGACAGGATGATGGGCATCTTTCCTCTCAACATGTTCATTTTGAAGCTGTTCCCTCTAAGGTGGCCAGGATGCAATTCTGACTGCTTGGCATCTTTGCTAATGTCACCAGAGAATAGTCACTATTGGCATCAAAAATACATTTATATACTGGTGTATATATATGCATGTATAGATAATGTGTGTGTGTGTGTGTCGCTAAGTGAGATGTACATACATATATATGTATCCTTGAAAGAGGATTTCATATCATTACCAGTGTGATTTAAGAGTTAATAGAAGTTATGGTATTCATAAAAGTGGTTTATAATATATGAGAGGTTTTATTTATTTTAATAAAATGCATTTGACTTCTTTTTATCATAATTTCTTAATAAACTAAAATATCCCATAGTTTATAAATAATTAAACATAAATGAGTATATTTGGCTCTCATTTATTATTGTTCACTTGTGGGTCTAGTATGTTTTCTGTTGGAACATTTTTCTGTGATATTTATAGACTTCTTTTTGAATATTTTTCCCACTGGCTGAAGATATCAAAGTTCAGATTGGCCACAACACATACTTTATGTTGAAAGTTTTTTCCTTAAAATAGAGAGGAAGAAACACTAGACCTGAACACCAAATAGATTTGTAAAAATGAAGGGCTGTAAACAATATCACTTAAGAGGATTCTTGTGAGAATATGGTGAAACTGAAGGGATGTTTGGTCTCTATTTTTCTCATCTGTGTTCCCCTCAAATAATGGGATGCCCTATGTTAGGTTCATGGAGAAAAAACTGAGCCAGTTCCCTTAGGTCCCATTAGGTACCATCTGCCAAATCTGTTGTGTTGACCTCTTTCGTGCTCCTGTTCTTCACTGGTAGGTCTTGTGTGCATCCCAGAGGCCCGCAGCCTCAGTCCTTCCCTGCTGCGGCTCTGAGTGGCGTTCCTCCTAAAGAGTTTCATGTCGTGATGATGAGACAGTTCCCAAAGAAATAGAGAAGCATCATGTGTGTGCTGATGTAAGAGGATGTGATATATCTTGTGAGGCCAGCCTGCCACCTTTGACTCCCCCACCTAGAGGAGGAGCGGGTAGGGACTGCAGTTTTTAGAGCTACAACAGACTGTAAAAGTTGGCAGCATTTTCTACTAAACCCATACAGGTGGCTCACAAGGACCGGGAAGGATGAATCATAATTTCATTTAGAATTGTTCCACTGTCAGTTGTTGGCGCCATTAAAATAGCAAACGCCAAGTAAAACGTCCATGGCTTTGAAATGGACCTTGCACATTTTTCATGAACTCAAATAAAATAGACCTTATCATTTTCATGACTTACACTATTAACTTAAATGACCTGTTTTTTTGCTGCTTGTTCATAATGGATCCATCAAGGACAATGGTGTAAGTATAAGCCTTCCTTCAATAAGCACTCTTGTGATAGGCCTGACAGTGTGACTCATGCAAAGGTCTGAGAGCAGAGTTTAAAGCAAAGAGCCCAGGAACTCCACTCTTAAAGTGGTAATGGTTATTGGCTTTTGTACAACTTGTGAACCGTTCCTTTGTAAGCTTTAGAATGAATGAAATCTTTGTCCTTTTTCTTCTGTCCAATGCAGGAAAGTCCAAGAAAGGTATGACAACCTCCCTCTGTGGTGCTTTTGTTTCTAGCAAGTAGTAAAAGGTCATGTCAAGTCAACTTTAAGAAATGATCAGATTTAAAACTGTACAATGGTGGATTTTTAGTCTAATGATTATTTCTTTTACACAATAGAGGGAAATTGTTGCACATTTGCTAAAAACACAATGCTGTGTGCAGCTGCTGTTCATTCACAAGCAGCTGCATGACCCTTTTTGTCTTGGTTTTTTATTGCAAGGTCAGATCATGCAGGAAACATGAGTGATTCGGAAGCGTTGCTTCATAAGACTCAGTATCTAGATAAAGCAAAGAGTGGGCTTGTACTGTGTATAGGCTAAGTGTAAGATATGATGTTTCTCCTTTATAAAGGTCAGGTATAAATAAAGCAGGCTATGTGAGAGGATGGAAGGATTTAGGCGGCTCCTAATATTCCATTTAAGCCTTAAAACCTAGTATAGGGTGAAAGTGAAAGTCACTCAGCTGTGTCTGACTTTTTGCGACCCCATGATCTATACAGTCCATGGAATTCTCCAGGCCAGAATACTGGAGTGGGTAGCCTTTCCCTTCTCCAGGGGATCTTTCAAACCCAGGGATTGAACCCAGTATAGAGTGAAGAACTGTCTAAATGACTGGCTAGAACAAATGATTCTTACGTGGCTAGGTGATAGTAATGCAGGGCATTACAGAACTGATTTGTTATAAAGTTGGATGAATTGTGCTTCAAATCATTGAATGGCATATTACAAACCTTAACTTTAAAAAGCTATTTGTTAGCATCTTCTTGGAATAAAGAATTGTTTTATAGATATACTCTTGTTTTTATTCTCCCTGTTTTCTGGTTGAACATGTGTAACGATTTCTCTCTTTATTTTTTTCTATAACAAATCTTTTTTGACTGTATGCATGTATCAGAAGCTTGTTTTTGTTTTGCTGACTTCTTGAATTCTTCTCTATAAATTCAAATTTAATCTAAAAATATGAGTATCTCCCCTTGTCAAGCTGGTATTGGTACTAACACTGTCAATGACTGCATGTTGGAAGAGTGTGTTTTTCCTGTCCCCTTGTCACCCTTTTTGATCTTGTATCTTTTTCCCTTTCTCTATCATTCTTCTCATTCCTGACTTGTCCTGCACCTTCATCTTCCGGCTGTGGACTATGGTTAGGAAGAATGAATTTCTCAGCAGGTGAGAAATTGTCAGAAATACTGGTTAATTTTATCCTCCTAAACCCAGGTTACAAATTTAGGTCATTGCATTTTCTGTATTAAGGCCCAGATAACCATTTTAAGGTATATAAGATACATTTAGAAAACATTAGCAAGATTATATATCCCACAGTGGTTAACTCACAAAGGACTTTTCAGGTGCAATTAGCCAGAATTCATAGGGATTGGTACTTTAAAAATGATAATAATAAATGGGCCTTGCACATCCAACCTACTGGCTCTTCTGGGACAGTGAAGAATGTTGAGTTGATTTGGGTTCCATGTATGCGCTGTGCTTAGTGACCAGCCTCAGGTGTTACCAGGTCTCACTTTATAACCTTTGTAAAGTGCCCAATTCAAACAGCCCTTCCTGTCCAGTCAGAAGGGTTTAGAGTATTCACAAGGCCCGTTTTACTCTTTAGATGTTGTCCCACTGCTGAATATTATTCTTGCCACATAATTTGAAAAGAAAAACAAAAACCAAGCAATCTCATGGATTTCGGAAAGTCTCATTTTCCCCCAATCCACTTACTTTGCCACACCTGAAACAGTAAATGCATTCCACTTCCTTATTTCGTCACTAGTGTATTTGAAATTTATGAATTCACTCAGTGACCTTTTATATTGTGACATCTGATTACTGAACAAATGGGATTCGGTGCTGAACAGGACATACATGGCCCCCTCCCTGATCACCGACACTTGAGTGGAGGCTTAATCCGGCTCACGCCTCTTCTGGGCTACTTCACTATACCAGCAGTCATCCTTGGGCCTGCTGCCAGGGAACCCTCCTCCCTCTCCTGAGCCCCTATCCTATCCTTCTGTTGAAAGTATCTGTACCTTTAAATGGCCAGGCCAGAGCCTGGATCCCAAAACCAGCTCCTAGGAATCACGCTGGTGCAGTTCCAGGGTCACAAAGGAGAGGTCCGTACCCTTATTTGTAATTTCAGGGATCACTTGTTTTTTTGGGGATTGCTCAGGAAGGAGGAGGCTAAGCCAGGTGACAGGTGAGTTTGTTGGGATCAGTAGAGTGTTGCTGGTGGTGGGGAAGGAGGGGCTGCTTAAGCTGGATGTTCCCACTCATACTGGATCCACAGGAAACCAAAATCCTGCCATGGAAGCTACTTGTTAGCAGCAGCCTTTTTCATTTAAGTTGAAAATGCAGGGTGTTATCCTATCACCGGGATGATGGGAGGCTCTCTGAGACACAGAGCAAAGACATAAAATAAGATAAAACACACAGCGAGGCGACCTGGGGAATTCACAGCTGCGGTCCTAGCAGCGCAGGCTGTAACAGCAGCTGCTTGTGCCCACGCTCGGAAACCTGGGAGTCGTTTTAGTTTCCTGTCTCCCTCTCCTGCAGGTGATAAGTTCATGTTCTTATTCTGTGATCCATTTGGGAAAAAAATCCTGGATTATCTGAGGAGCAGGGCATAGTTACATAATCGCATTACAGGAACTAGCTTTTCCTCACTGTGAGGAAACTGAAGGGAAGGGAGGTTGTGACACGTCATCACCAAGGAGACAATTCTGTTTTAAATGACAAGGGTGTCCTTTAGGGATTTGGTTTTCATACTAAAACAAGGGAGTGTCTTCCATGTGATTGGTGCCAGCATGAAGTTCTCTTTGCCAACAAGCCTTTTCTGAAAGTGTAAACAAAGATATATGTGTGACCTTTCCAAATAATCTCTGGTATTTTTTGTCCCTCCCTTTTCCATAATGAATAATTGGAAACAATTTGAAAGGAGCAGTTAGTAATTCCAAAAGTTCAAGTATCAAAGGTAAATATTTAAGTAATGAATTATTTTGCCATGTTTAAGATTGAAAAAAAAAGGCACAAGCTCCACACTTATGAATGTGCTGGCTTTTGTAGTGCTTTATGCATTAATCATTACAATTGAAGCTGTTCTCTCTAAAGCCTCATGGTCTGGTTTTGTGTTTTGCATCTTTCCTTAGCAAAGTGATATGTAGTTTTTACATATGTGTGTGTTTTTATAATTTATGGTTATATCTTACATTAAGGAAACTTATTTTCCCAGAAATGCCTTAACCTGAACTAACTTATTTTAACTTCAATATCTAAACTGCTCTAAACTAGTGGCATGGAAACCCCTCATGGAACTCAAATCATTTTACAGATTTAGTTTTGGTATATAATGTTTTGTTGAAGCATCACAGATGTGGCATCTGTTTTTAAATGAAAATGTTTAATCAACAGCTGAGGAAGCGGTTTGGAATCACTTGCCTTCTTTTGCCCTCTGGCCTGTTTTTTTGGTCATTTAATTACTAATTAAAAACCTCATAGAAAGGTAGGTAGGGTACAAGAAAACAGGGAAAATCCAGATGGTCCAAATATATAGTCTTAACAGGCCTGGTAGTACATTTGATCTAGGAGAAAGTGATTGTGAACTATTGTATTGGCTAAAGAACAAATTTTAATGAATTGAGGGATGCGTTTATCACTATGCCTCCTGATTCCTGAGTACATGGTAAACAGAGAATTAAAACAAAAGATAATTCGATTTGTGATACCCAAAAGCAGCTACCAGAAGAAAGCCATAGAATAACACGAAGTAAAGCCTGTGGCCTGGTGTGCCAGCCAAGCAGGTACGGGGTGAGGAAAGCCCCTTTACCAGGGGCCCTTTTGCTCCTGTGGATATGATCCCTCCTTTCATATGTTATCACCAACTGGCTGCAGGCTGGTGGTTAAGGCAGAAGAAGGAAGACAGCTAAAAATAAACTGATTAGGCTGATCACAGCTACTGGAAGGATCGTTGATTCTGAGTGTTTTAGATAAGTCATTGGCAGACGGGGATTTGGAAAAAAAAAGAATGAGAAAAACGTGCATTTGGAACATTAAGCAAAGTAGAAATGTTAGTGATACAGGTTTCTCAGATCCTACACCTAGATGATCTACTTGCTGTTTTATGACCAGATCAAGTACCTTTGAAACTGGAATACCACTGAAGAAGTGAACACCCTAAGAGCCTCATGTCGCTTGTCATAAGAAGTCAAATGATTTCTCTGTATAAATGAATTATACAATTAAAAAAAGAGTCACACCCCTTAAAAAAAAAAAAAAGAAGTCATCTTGCTTTGCTTAAACCCAGCTATTGTTAGAGGATTTGAGTCTTGAATTATGTTTCTGTTTTGGTTTTGTGTGTGGGTTTCTATGTGAGCTGATGTATTGTTCTCCGCTGTGCTGAGATGTAGAAATGGCATAGGAAAGTGTCAAGTGATCTGCTGACAAAAAAAAAAATCACTCACAAGACGACTTCTTTGAAACTCATGCTTGCCCTGAGCATGATGCTGTTTCTTTGATCTTCTTGGCTTCAAAACAAATTAGACCAAGGCCCCAACTTCATAGGCAGATGTTTTGGGTTGCTGGTTTGAGAGTCTTAGAAGATCTAAGACTGAAAAAATGAGGCATACGAACATATTTATGGCTCTCTCCTTAGGATATAATCACCAACAGATGAGTGAAGGACAAAGGCAGAAGTCTTCTGAATTTTACAACCGCACGGCATCTGAATCGAATGTCTACTTGAACAGTTTCCACTACCCAGATCACAGCTACAAGGACCAGGCCTTTGATACTCTGAGCCTAGACAGCTCTGACAGCATGGAGACCAGCATCTCTGCCTGCTCACCTGACAATATCTCTAGGTAAGATGTACTCCTGGGGAATGTGTCTGGTTTGGAAAAGCACTTGCTTGTTTCAAAAAGTAAAGCCATCAGTCTGAGGCAATGTTTATGTACAAGCCCAAATTTCTTAAACAAAAAGAGCTACAATACAGAAGAGGGTTGAGTGTCCTGGTGGTCTTTGAAAGTACTTTCTTTGTATCCAGAGTGACTTGAGCCAGTCACACACCATCTAATCCATTTTCTCCTTTATTTCTTTACACCTGACTTCACATGTATATTGTGCTTCAAAATGGATTTGCCTCTGTTGGTTGACTCCAAACTTCACTAGGACTGCTTGTAAAGATTTAACCATTCACATTTGTGTTCGTACTTCGAAGCAAGCAAAAGTGGACTTATGGGATCATGGCCAAAAGTGCATCTAAAATATAAATCTAGTTATAGTGCTCCTTCAAGAGCTTGTGATGATGCCTTGCAACCTTTTAAGTAAAGTCAGACCTCAGAGCCTGGCATTCTAGATCCAGCCCAACTGCGTCGATGCTGTCCTGCTACGCTGCCCAGAGCTTCTTATTCATTGAGAGGGCGATGGATTCTCAGATTTCTGTGCCTTTGACCATATTGGTTCTAGCCCTGGAATCATGTCGTCTGCTGTTTCTTTTGTTTATATGCTCATTCACTCCGCAGATCCTTACAGAGTACTCTACAGCTAACAGTGAGCTGAAGTTAACTCAAACCAGTTGCAAGAGTCAAAGGTGCATACCTCCTCCTAACTCTGATCAGTGATGTCATGTTGATAGTCTGGGACTGGCCACAGTGGGAGTATTTACGCCACATAATCAGGGGTTTTGTTTTACTCCAGAGAGCTGATCTACCAGCACACCACTGTCTAGAGTCAGCTCTTCCTTTCATTTGTGTATTCCCTCAACCTGTGCATACTGAGCGTTGAGAGTGTCTAGCATTGCAAAATGTCTTTACCGTCCCCTGCCCCCTCCCACTTTAGCTTGAAGAAAGTCTCCTCACCATTTAAGCTCAAACTGAAGTTGGAAACTCATGAAAATTTCTCCTTTGAGAATGTCTTTCTTTCATGTTTCCATGGAAGTTGATACTTTTTTCTATTGTATCACTGATCACATTGCAGTATAAAAATTTTTCTTCGATAATTAATTGGCACATTCCTAAATGTCAGGGAGGATGTTTAATTAACTTTTGGTTTCCACATTCAGCAGAAATCTTGGCACATAGTAGGTATTCAGTTAGTGTTGGCTGAATAAATACCTCAGGATATAGTAGACATACTTTCAATTTTTCTTTTTTTCTTTTTTTGTTCTGTTTCAATTGGCTGAGAACCATTATGATTTCAACCCCAGGAACACCTAGTGTTTAATAATGTCCATTGAGCAATTGTGTGTCTGAAGTGAAAATGACTAATTGAATGATGACTGTCAAACAAATTTTCCTCTATTGCAGTGACGTCACAGGCTAAGGACAGGAGCTCTCTGGGCCTTACCTGACTGCTAACTGTGCTGCTTGAAGTGGGTCACAGATCTCTCTAGGTCCTGATTTGCTAATCTGCTAAATGGTGTATGGTTCCTTGAGTGCAAGAGGATGATGGATTTTTAAATATTTTTGTGGTAAATTATCATCATGTATATAGAATTTCTTTACAAAGTTTTGAATCATTTGCTTCTCCCCTTGCCCCGCCAAAAAGGAGTGACAGAGACAGAGAGAAAGTAGTATCGGCAAGGTGTGCTTAGCTTTGGGTTAGTGTCTTATAAATGGAAAGGATTTTGAGAGACCCAAATCTAACCAGATATTGTAGCCGGGAAACTTGGGGAGTGGAGGAAAAGAAGAACAGGGACTTCCCTGGTGGTCCAGTGGCTAAGACTCTGCGTGCCCAGCGCCGGAGGTCTGGGCTCTATGCCTGGTCAGGGAACTACATCCCACACGCCACAACCAGAGATTCATTCCATGTGCCACCACTAAGACCCGGTGTGGCCAAATAAATAAACGGATATTTTTTTTTTTTAAAGAAGGATAAATGCTACATTTTTTGGTATATAGAATACAGTGTATTTTAATTCTGGCATTATAATAGGTGAAATATTGATACTACTGAATACATCCTACCAGAGAAGGAAAGGAATTCTTGGGGGAAAACACTAAAGCAACCATGAGAACTATAGGTATTTCTCCTTGTCACATGAGAAATTTAATTTAAATTTAAGGAGAGGACTATGTAAAGACTAAAGATAATTTTTTGCTGCCATTATTATTTAATATCAGAGGGGTGAGTATTTCACTTCATTTAATATTGGAAAATGCAGTACCTCACTTTTTAAAAAATGAAAGACACTTGAGTGCGTGGAAAGACTAGGCCTCAAAGCATCCATCTCTTGCTCTGGGTGTTCTCGTAAGGCACTGGCTGTTCCCACCAGGGTGTCCGAGAGCCATGCGCGGGTGCCAGGAGCTGACGTTCCCAGGCCAGAAAGCCTAGAACGTTGAGTGATTGTTCAAAAATGCCAGTAAACGGACCCATTGCATGTGTTACTTTTGAATAACGGGACACCAAAGTCAGAAGTTTGGCAACTATTGTGTAACAGTGGTGGGAGGAATAAAAGTTGATGGTGCGATCATTTCATTTCCTAGTATAGTGATCTCAGAGGGACTCTCTGGGTTTCTGAGACACTATGCACTTTTGAAAGTTGTTTTTTTGAAAACATCAGACTGCCTACCCAAATAATTGTGAGTATTTTATAACAGGATTCCTCTGGGTGAACCCCTGATAGCATGGCCTTTTTTATCCTTTCTATTTTTGAGCCATCTTTAATAAATAAATACACTCTATATGTTTTCCTATATTGGTGGCTTTTTCTGCTCCATTTTCTGCTCTCTACCCCTTTATCCCCTCCAAAAACTAAAAATAAGTGTACATCCCTTCAAATGATTCCCTCCTCAAACTCCATCTCTCGTATTTGAAGGTGGTGAACAGCAGCATAGCAGTGAGTACAGAAAGTTACCTCAAAGGGAGCCATTTCAATCAGATTTGCCAAGATGCTTGCTCCTTGGAAGAATAGCTATAAGAAAGCTAGACAGTCTGTTAAAGAGCAGAGACATCACTTTGCTGACAAAGGTCCATATAGTCAAAGCTGTGGTTTTTCCAGTGGTCATATATGGATGTGAGAGTTGGACCATAAAGAAGGCTGATCATCAAAGAATTGATGCTTTCAAACTGTGGTGCTGAAGAAGGCTCTTGAGAGTCCCTTGGACAGCAAGGAGATCAAACCAGTCAATCCTAAAGGAAATCAACCCTGAATATTCAAGGAAGGACTGATGCTGAAGCTGAAACTGAAACTCTAATACTTTGGCCACCTGATGTGAAGAACTGACTCACTGGAAAAGACCCTGATGCTGGGAAAGATTGAGGGCAGGAGGAGAAGGGAATGACAGCGGATGAGATGGCTGGATGGCATCACCGACTCGATGGACATAAGTTTGAGCAACCTCTGGGAGTTGATGACGGACAGGGAAGCCTGGCGTGCTGCAGTCCATGGGGTCGAAAAGAATCCGACACGACTTGAGAGAATGAACTGAACTGCACTGCACTGCTTACACAGTGTTGCAATGTTGTAATGTTGCCCTCCAGCTTCTTTCTGCCTTCCTGTTCCTTCTCCCTCTTTATACACTGAGAGATGGAAGTGATTATTCCTGGAGTTGCTCAGCACTGATTCTTGCTTCTCCAGACAGAGGATTTATTTTTTCTTGAAGCCTCACTGCTTTGTCTGAAAAGGACTGGAAATTCAAGAGCAGGGGTCCTCTAGGGCTCCCGTCTAGCAGCCTGCTTCATTTCTGTTGCGCTTGGCTTCTGTGGTATCTGAGGATGAAGCTGTCANGGACACGACTGAAGTGACTTAGCAGTAGCAGCAGAAAGAGGTCTTCCCTGGTGGCTTAGATGGTAAAGCAATGCGGGAGACTCAGGTTTGATCCCTGGGTTGGGAAGATCCCCTGGATAAAGGAAATGGCAACCCACTCCAGTGTTCTTGCCTGGGAAACCCGTGGACAGAGGCGCCTGGCGGGCTGCAGTGCATAGGGTCACAAAGAGTCAGACTCTGAGCAACTGTCACACACACAGAAAGAGAAATAAAGAACTGAAGAACTTTTCTCTTTTTTAGATTTGTTTAAAATGATGTGTTGAAATGTCCTGAAATTATTCATGTTTTAAAGAGGGAGCTCCATGCTGGAGTTCCAGCAGCATAAACTTAGTCCTGTGGTTCATTGTGTCGTAAAAGCCAGTGATAGGATTACAGAACTACTCCAAGTTGCAGGTACCTTCGCCTTACACTTTTTGTCGAGACACCATCTTTGTGTCAAGCGGAATATTCTTGGAGTCAGATGATGTTTTTACTTTTTCAGTATCATTACACTGTACACAAACATAAAGCTAAGAAAACAGGTCTTTTGTCTGAAAAAACAGCAGCTGAAAGTCAGTTCTATTCTGCTAAAATTATTGAATGAGCTCATAGGGTGTAATGTTCTGAATACTACCTACTACCTATGAATACTGAATACTACCTATGCGGTTGAGGGCATCCAAGGTTGAGCTTGGTTTTAAGAGATACTTCAAATAGACTCTCAGATACTTCTTATCCCTTTGTTTTATTCTGCTTTCTAACCAAGGGAATCAACACAGCATTTGCATTTTATTCTAGGGATTTCTCTCAGAAGAGACACAGAAAACCAGAGAATTTCAGAGGAGGGCAAAGCTTGCAAAGGGACCAGGTAGTCTACTGTGCAGAGGAAGATCAGACATTTTATCAGGAGTAATAGTTTTCTTGACCTGAAAAAATAATCAAGAAGATGAATTGGCAGTAAATACCCTGGCTCACGACTCTCCATTTAGCGGCAGCATCAGTGTGCTGAGGCAGTCGTGGAGAAGTTTTCTGTCTGTGTGGACAGTCTTGTTTGTTTTTTGTTTTGTTTTATTTATTTGTTGTATGATGATGGTCTTGTTTCCTTTTTTTCTTCCTTTTTCTGTTTTTGCCCTTGCCTCTAAAGTGAATATTCTAAAGCAAATTCAGATTTTGCCAAAAGGTATTATTCAGCACTGAAAACTAAATCTACTATTTAGATTCCTTTACCCTTGAAAAAGTTTCATTTTTCTTTATGACTGTGGGTTTTTACCAAAGTTGGTCACATAAGACAAATAATATTCAGTTGATAAAATAGAACATGGCCAAGTAGAGAATAAGGAGTTCATGATCTGAGCCACAGTCAGCTCCCAGTCTTGTTTTTGCCGACTGTATAGAGCTTCTCCATCTTTGGCTGCAAAGAACATAATCAATCTGATTTTGGTGTTGACCATCTGGTGATATCCATGTGTAGAGTCTTTCTTCTCTTGTGTTGTTGGAAGAGGGTGTTTGCTATGACCAGTGCGTTCTCTTGGCAAAACTCTATTAGCCTTTGCCCTGCTTCATTCTGTACTTCAAGGCCAAATTTGCCTGTTACTCCAGGTGTTTCTTGACTTCCTACTTTTGCATTCCAGTCCCCTATAGTGAAAAGAACATCTTTTTTGGGTGTTAGTTCTAGGAGGTCTTGTAGGTCTTCATAGAACCATTCAACTTCAGCTCCTTCAGCTTTACTGGTTGGGGCATAGACTTGGATTACCATGATATTGAATGGTTTGCCTTGGAAACGAACAGAGATCAATAGTTGACTCACTGGAAAAGACCCTGATGCTGGGAGGGATTGGGGGCAGGAGGAGAAGGGGACGACAGAGGATGAGATGGCTAGATGGCATCACCGACTCAATGGACATGAGTTTGGGTAAACTCCGGGAGTTGGTGATGGACAGGGAGGCCTGACGTGCTGCGATTCATGGGATCACAAAGAGTCAGACATGAGTGAGCGACTGTACTGAACTGAAGTAGAGAAAGTAAGCAAAACTGGTCATCTTTTTTCCATAAGTGGCCAAATGATTTCATATTATTTGGTTATCATACAGTAATCATATATGAGATCAGAAATGTGCCTGCCTTCTGAAGAAGGTCAGAAGCTGAAGCAATGGGAGGAAGCATGACTCCCATTTGGAGAAACCAATGAGTGTCTTATGCTCCAGGTAATACATTAGCCGTGTGTCTCCAGTGACTGCAGCTTCTCCCTTGGCATGCAAGGTGCTCGCCAAATTACGTTTCATTTGTTCCATGCCCTGATACTGACAAGTCACCCTAAATTCCTATCGACATTGCATTTGGTTCTCACAGCAGGTACAGTTCTGCCCCCTCCCCGAAAAGTATCAGATAGATAGCAGTATCATAGAGTAGCATATGTTTTGCTAAATAAAGTGCTTTACATATCAATGGAATCTTAAAATCAACAATAGCAAAAGTGTAGCTATAGAGAACAAGTAGGTGTCCATGGATAAAAATTCATTACTTTTAACAAAATAACCAAAGTAGGGACTTCCCCAATGGTCCAGAGGTTGGGGGGCGGGTGGTGGGCGCAGATTCAGCCCCTGCTTGAGGAACTGAGGCCCCACGTGCCACAGGCGTGTCACCCCGTGTGCGGCAGCAAAGACCCAGCACAGCCAAAATTTTAAAAAGAATTTTTTTTTAAGGAACTTTGAAATCGTAATTTTTTAAATGAGTGACTTTAGATGCCTAAGAGTTATGAAGATGTGATATCGTAAATGTTAATATGCATTTTCTATGAGATGTTTTCAGAAAATTCAGTTGGGCTGCACTGTTGGCATATGGGGTTTTAGTTTCATGACCAGGTATCACACCCATGTCCTCTGCATTGGAAGCATGGAATCTTAACCACTGGACCACCATGGAAGTCCCTAAAGAGTTTTTTTCTTCACTCTTGCTGGTTGAAGAGAACAGAACGTATCCCTTTGTACCTCCCTCCTTCAGGCCACTGAAGTATGAGGGGAAATATGCTTTATTCCTGTCTTTCTCATGAGAAAACACCGGGCTAAAAATTGGCCCACATTCACTCTGCCAAGTCAGCCTAATTGTTAAGCTTCTGAGGATCCACCGTTACTAAAGCTGTCCTTCTCCTTGATGGATGCGTTTTGTAATCGGGCTGGCAGTACTGTTTTTTTTTTCTTTTTTAGCTTTAATTTTTTAAAGCAGTTTTAGAGTCACAGCAAAACTGAAAGGGAGGTACATAGATTTCCCATATACTGACTCCCACCACATATGCATACCCTACCCTTTTATCAACAACCCCCACCAGAGTGGTACGTTTGTTACAATTAACGAACCTACGTTGACACAGCACTATTACCCAAAGTCCGTAATTACAAATTATATGGATTCACTCTTGGATTTGGACAAGTATATATCGTGATCCATCATTATTGTGTCAAACAGTATTTTCATTGCCCTAAAAATCTTCTATGCCCTGTCTGTTCATCCTTGTCTCCCTTCCTACCCTCCCCACTTCACATTGCTGGTAACTACTAATCTTTTTACTGTCTCCATAGCTTCTTTTCCCCAGAATGTCATATAGTTGGAGGAATAAAATATTTGGCCCTTCAGATTGGCTTCTTTCACTTAGTAATTTGCATGTATAGTTCCTCCATGTTTTCTCATGACTTGATGGCTCATTTCTTTTTAGTACTGAATACTACTCCATACATAGTCTGGATGTACTACGGTTTATTTATTCATTTACTTACTATAGGATATCTTGGTTGCTTCCAAGTGTTGGCATTTGTGAATAAAGCTGAAATAAACATGTGTGCGCAGTACTGATTTTAAGATAAACTATATGTCCTTAATTACTATGGTCATTTCTCTTCAAAAGAACTCTTAGCACTGTGTTTGAAACATCCAAGGTTTGAGTTGATCAACAGTATGGTTTAAGAAGATTATGCTAACAGTTATCTTATTCATTTTTTTTATCTTATTCATTTTTACATGAATTAATTTTATATGAATGTGTGTTTCAAACATGAACCCCTACTGTGTGCCAGGCTCTATGCTATGGAGGATACAGGCACAAAAACCCAAGAGAGTCTAGAAAAGAAAACATATTTGGGACTTCCCTGGTAGTTCAGTGGCTAAGACTGTGTTCCCAATGCAGGGGGCCAGGGTTCAATCCCTGGTCAGGGAACTAGATCCCACATGCCACAACTAAGACCCAGTGCAGCCAAATAAATAAATAAAAATATTTCTTTAAAAAAGAAAACATATTTAACTGACTATGCAAGTATACTTGCATGAGACATTGCTTTTAAAGCTCTGAAACCTTGAATGCAGTTTTCTCATTGGTATGGTGGTATGGGCTTTATTCACACAACTGGCCACCACCCTTCTATTGCACCTGTAAGAGAAGTCATTTTTTACACTTCATCTTAGCCAAAAGGCCGAGAAGCGATGAGAAGTCATTTTTTAATTGACCATCTTAAATCACCGTGTAAGAAAGAAAATGGCCAGAAGCATGAAGGTATAGCCAGAAAGTAGCTGGTGACGCATGATCCCAAACCAAATCAAGTGATTGCCAAACTTAGGGGTCATCTGCGTTGATTCTGGAGATAGTTTTGTTGGTCTGGCATCTCTGAATAATTAAACTAATGAGAAGGCCTCCTACAGGCCAGAATTTCTAAACTTTGGAGGAAACATATTGAGAACACACTTTGTATAATTTGGGTTTTGCCTTTTATATGAGTAGAGCACTTTATGTGGTGTTGTTTCCCTTGCCTGTATTTTCTCTTCTAAACTGAAGTAAGTTACTTTCACCTAGAGTTGTCAGAGTTGAATTGACTTGCCTCATCAGACTAATGATTCTTGTAAACAATATCATTTCATATTCGATCTTGGGGTGTGTGTGTGTGTGTGTGTGTGTGTGTGTATCTGATAAGACATTAGTAAGAAGCAGTATTCTTAAAAGGCTTTTGTGTTTTCTTCAGTGCCAGCACTTCAAATATTGCCCGAATAGAAGAAATGGAGAGACTTTTGAAGCAGGCTCATGCAGAGAAGACAAGGCTGCTTGAATCCAGGGTAGGCCTAATATCTTTATGCCAGAGGTCAGTGATGTGTTGGTTCAAGATGCCCTGCACTTGACACTGGAAAACTGTCTTCAGGCCTCAATAAGCAGTGGGACCTTGGAATAGTCACTCTACCTTTCTTGGCCTTATTTTCTTTTTATTCTTTTTTATTTTTTGGCCACACCAAATGGCTTTTGGGAGAAAGAAATGGCAACCCACTTCAGTGTTCTTGCCTGAAAAATTCCATGGACAGAAGAACCTGGTAGACTACAGTCCATGGGATCTCAAAGAGTCCGACACGACTGACTGCACACACGAATGGCTTTTGGGGTCTTAGTTCCCTGACCAGAATTGAAGCCCGGGCCCTCAAAGTGAAACAGAGAGCACTAACCACTGGGCAAACAAGGAAATCCCACTGGCCTCGTTTTCTTTTCTAAAAAGTGAGAGTGTTAGAGAGGTGTTCCCTACAACTCTTTACTGTACTACCGTTTTTTAAGTGTAAAATGTATATAGTATGGGCATGATGAATTCTCTGCATTGCATGTTCCCCTCAGTGGCCTATTTGTTTGCCTGCGGGGGGACGGAGGAACGGCAGGTCTTCACACATTCTCCCTGCCTTGCCCGTTCATGGTCAGGACACTGTTATAATATTAAAACTCCCACGTTGTCATGACTGTATTTCAAGCCAAAGTCTGCACTTCCTTAGGAATCCCCCAGAGGCCTTTGCATCCTGCCTGAAAGGGAGCCTCCCTTCCTCCTCTGACTTCCAGGCTGCTTCCTCCGCGACCTTCAGCCAGGAAGCCCCAGAGCAACAACAGGAATTGGAAGGACCCACAGCCATCCAAGAAAGGCTAAAAGTTGTGACTAGTGTTGGGTCACAGTTAACCTTTTTATATTAAAAATGGAGATCGGGGTCATCAGTATGAAAGGACTGAACAGTCACAAGCTGGGTTTCACTTAATATTCCATTGTTAACTGTATGTAGTGGCTGCATTTCTGCACAGAATGATTTGAAAGCTCTGTGAGCGGTGATTACGGATGTTTTACTCTTGGTTATACCCTGTAAGAATCTCACCTATAAAATTAGGAATTGCCTAGTGAGATTTATATATATATATATATATATATGCATTGGAATTATTCAAGTATAACCAGTATGTCTGAAATTTTTTTTCTGCATAATGACACCTAGGAACGAGAAATGGAAGCCAAGAAACGCGCTCTGGAAGAAGAAAAACGACGTCGAGAACTCCTGGAAAAACGATTGCAGGAAGAAACTAGCCAGAGGCAGAAGTTAATCGAAAAAGAAGTAAAAATAAGGGAGAAACAAAGGGCACAGGTGGGTCGATCAGTCTGGATGGGCTGGAGTAGATTGCCCCCTGGTGGTCATTTTTTAAAACTGTGTTAGTGGGCCAAAAACACGTGTTCAAAACACCTATTTCAAAACTCATTGGGTACAATTAACAAAATGACATTTTCATGGGAAGGCACTTTTTCTTCTACCCATTTGTTGGAGAATATTTAAAAAGGAGAATTTTTTTGGAGCAACTTTGAAAGTTCAGCTAGATTCTTTTCTAGAAACAAATAGAACACCCAAACCAAGTTGAGAAAAAGAGATTCTATTATGTCATCTTTTGGAAGCAGACACTCCAGCACAGAATACTTTAACCAGCCCAGTTCCTTGCTGGTGGAATTAATATTTATGGTGGAATTAATTTTAAATTAATTTCAATGGTGGGATTTAATTAATAATTAATATTTTGAATTGTTTTCCTAACCACACGGTGTTGTCATGGTGATGCCAGTCTACACACATGGCCATAGGATTGCTGAACTCAGGAGAACCACCCACTCTGTTTAACTTCCTATCTCAATCATCCTGGAATTTGCTCTTGTCACTAGAACTGCTTACATAATATATGCTTTCTGAGACACTAAAGTAAAATTTTAAGTACCATGTAATTTAAAGGTCAAGTCAGCTTTTCCAAGGCTTACTAGATTTAAAGATAAAAGGTACCAGTTCCCTTGTTCCTTCCAGTTGCTTGCAGTTTGAAGTTCAGCAGTGAGAGACTTGCCTTCATCTGTGGCACCTGTCTAGAGCCAGAGTACCACGGAATCAAAGGCAAAATAAAGGAAAAATCCAAGTAAAACGTGTTCGTTTTATTTCATTATGCCAAACCTCTTTCACTTTTCGATTTGCATAAAGGTCATCCATGACTATTTGGTGTCTGAAGCCAAACCAAAGGCACAATTCTATTTTAATCTCAATGATTAGTTTTGTTTCCAAGTATGTGACTAGGTTATGTTCCCCCAGGACAAAGGGGTGGGGCAGTTTAACAGCATAAAGTACAAGACCATTTTAGAAATATTACTCATGGCGACTTGCACTTCCCAGTCCAGATGAGCCTCCGCTCCAGCTGCGGTAAATTAAAAGACCCCAGTGCACGCCTCTTCAGTGTCCGGTCCCGGACAGCTCATGGGTACAGCTTTCATTCCACATTCTTACCTTATTTTAACTTTGCCTTTCAAAACACCTCTGCCTTCAGTTTCTATCAGAGTATACGCAAATCAGCATGCACACACACGCTTGGGGGATCTGGTGGGGGCTGTACTTCCTAAATGAGGTCCAGTCAGTTCCATCATGTCTGAGGTTACCTAAGGAGAACTGTTGTTGAGGTTGTGGTAGGGAGAATTCCTGGAAACGTTACAGAGAGGGGCCCTCATCTGCAAGAAGCAGCCAAGAGAACGTCATGCCTTATTTCCTTATGTTTTTGTCTTGTTATCGGCCGTGCCAAGCGGCATATGGGATCTTAGCTCCCCGACCCGGCATCAAACCCATGCCCCCTGTGTTGGAAGTGTGGAGTCTTAACCACTGGACCGCCAGGGAAATCCCTTCCCTGTTTTAAGTGCTGAGTACCTCTTTTAAAACTAAGGTAAATGACATGTTTCCATTTTCTCATCTGGCCTTTTCAAGGAATAGAGTCTGCTGGCCNTTTTTCCCCCCCCCCCCCCCACCATACCATAGCATTTTTCTTTAAATGCCATCCACTTTTTAGATTCCAAATGACAATGTTTAAGTTCTCATAATTGCATGGACGTTTTAACACTTAGGCTTTTCAGTTCATAAACATCTGTGACCTAAAACAAAACAAAGAGCTATAGATCAGATGGCCTCATGCATTTCCAGGCTCGACCTCTGACCCGCTATCTGCCTGTGCGGAAGGAAGACTTTGATTTGCGGAGCCACGTAGAGACTGCTGGCCACAATATCGATACGTGTTATCATGTGTCAATCACAGAGAAGACCTGCAGAGGATTCCTCATCAAAATGGGTGGAAAAATTAAAACCTGGAAAAAACGCTGGTTTGTTTTTGATCGGAACAAGCGCACCTTCTCTTATTATGCAGGTGGGTCATAAAAATAATCTGAGTGACATTCAAATCAGGAGTTTTCTGTTAAAGAACAAAAGCAATAAAATTCAGAATAAATCAGTAAAGTGATAAGTAATAGATTAATGGCAATATTAGCTTGATAGATGTGTATTGTATTCAGGTCATATGGTCCAGTATTTATGAATTTTCTCTAGAAATAATAAAAATTACATTTTTAAAAACTGTGAGTCAGTTTGTTCTGGTTCTGAAATAAACTCAAACCCAAATAAATATTAAATGGAATTTATTTTTTAGACTGAAATATTATCTTTTAAACCATGAGATCAGAAAAGGTTTCTATTTATTTATTTATGGTCATATGCCCTATTTAAGTCACACACAATTAGGCAGCTTAGCTGACAGCCATTCAGCTCTAGTTCATGGTAATTTCAGCAGTGAAAAGCTCCTCAGTGAACTAGTGAATAAGTTAAGTATTTACTGGGTGAGTGGAATATTTTTGGATTCTTTAAATGATAGATTATGAGACTCGTACCCTACTGAATCCTCTATGAATACAGGAATATTTGTGTAACCAGTGTACTTATTAAGAAGCCCCTTATCTGCACATAGATTTCATATGAAATATGTTCGTTAGCCGCACAAGTAAAGCTGCACTCTCTTCTCAGCTGCTGAATAAGAGTGGTGTCAGACTAGAGGTTATGAAGACACCTGCCTCAGGGTGACAGTACCAGCATTTATGGGCTTTGTTGGGAATTGTTACAAAGTGTAGCAAGGTAATAAATTAAAAAACAGTCCAGTCTTTTAATCTGCAGGGTGTGGTCAGGTATGTTTATGAAGAAAGGTGTGAGAAACCAGGGGGCATGTGGAAGAAAGGAAGCTCCGGCTATGGAGCCCCAGAAGCCCAGAGTGAGGGGTGGGCAGGTGCATGCCTTTAAGTTGTGGGCTCTGTGTGTGGGGCTCCAGTTGCTGCAGTGGCGAGCACTTGGCCTGACTCTCACTGGTTACCTCTTTTGGCCTTTCTGACTTTGGGTTATGTAAGAATCCAGAGACAATATCTTCAGTTAATACAATAGAAGAGATGCCTATGTAATAAATGCCAATTCTGTGTCTGCAAAATGCATAAAGAAATTTTGTCAGTCTCCACTGACAACCTTAGCCAAAATTTTAAAATAATTCAAATAAAACAACTTTGCTCATCTCTGCTCCTTTTTTTTAGGAGCCTTATTTCATTCTTTCTTCAGTCTGAGAGGTGAGAGGTTCAGTGCTTCTTTCTGGTCCATGTAAATGTGTTTTTCAAATTTAAACTTCTTAGTGACCAGTTTTCAATTTTTTTTTTAAATACCAAAATCTTTTGGTATATGAACGATTGCTCAGAACCCTAATACCTAAAACAGAAAAAATCATATTTAATTCAGGTTTTAATATTTACAGATTGTATAACTGACTGGTGAGACCTAACTTGACAAACAAAACGCTGCCCATTTGCTCCGTTTGCAGCATCATCAGCTTTTCTGCTCCCACGCTCCCCACCCCGACTCTTTCCCAGACGCCACCAAGCGCAGAAGTCGATCAGCCAGCGGGCTTGCCCTGCAGGTGCAGTGCAGGCTGGGCTTGATCNTTTGCTCCGTTTGCAGCATCATCAGCTTTTCTGCTCCCACGCTCCCCACCCCGACTCTTTCCCAGACGCCACCAAGCGCAGAAGTCGATCAGCCAGCGGGCTTGCCCTGCAGGTGCAGTGCAGGCTGGGCTTGATCCCGCAGGCGCCACGGGATCACGTCCCACGTCAGCCAGCCAGCCAGCGTGGTCAGTGAGCATGGCCCGCGTGCAGGGCCTGAGCCAGACTCCGGTCTCCCTGTGGGGCAGGCCCGCGTGCTTGGCCTCCTGCACATTGACTGAGTGACTTTAGGAGAGTCTCTAAGCAAACCCAAGGCACAGAAACTATGTCTGTAAATTGCTAGGATAATGCTATTGAGACGGAATCCTAGAATTATCTCATCGATTTACAAGAGCCTTGAATTTTTCATTCTTTCTGACGTGCCTTACAAACAGAAGTTTTCTTCCCCCAGTTTTCTTCCTGCTTTGAAACACTGACAAGGTTTACTTTTATCTCCAGATTTCATTTTATATCCATTTCCAGAAAACAGAGTATTATTGTTTTCCAGTGAATTAATTATTGCAGGATCTTTTCCACCAAATGTTTGAGAGACACACTGACCTTTTCTTTCACAGAAACTGATAGAAACCCACTGAACATGGTATTAATTAAAAGTGTTTCCCTAGGAAGAGCAAAAATAAACACAAAAATGTGGTCCATGCTCAAATAAGTTAAAGAAATGCTGAGTTAAATGCAACTATACAGGTTTATTTTCTGCCGAACTTCTCAGGGCTGATATTTTTCAAATTTGCTTTTTACTGTTGTTATGGGGGGTGGGGTGGGAAGGACTCTCATTTTAGTAAAAACTTCAAAATGCAACTAAGCCTAAAGAATTGAAGTAAGTCTTTGTCCCATGACAAAAGTTCTGGCCTTTTCTAACACTGTTAAGCTTGAAATATCCTTTCAGATTTTCTCCATGCCTTTTCATATATGGTTCAGTGTATATAGGTATTATTTCTTCTTAATCCAGTTAGGACCAAATTATTCACCCTGTTCATACCTTTCTTCTCATAATGATGTTTCAAGGTTTTTCTCTTGAGCACATGCATGTTTACCTTGGTCATTTCATTGGCTGTGTAGATTCCATTGTATGGCTGGTCTAGAACTGAGTCAGTTCCCTGTTAAGGCCCCAGCAAGTCTTTTGCAGCATGGTGGGTGCCGCTCATGGTAAAGAGCCTGCCTGCCAGTGCAGGAGACATACGGGATACCGGTTTGACCCCTGGGTTGGGAAGATCGCCTGGAGGAGGGCGGAGCAGCCCACCCCAGTGTTCTTGCCTGGAGAATCCCATGGGCAGAGGTGCCTGGTGGGCTACAGTCCATTGGGTCACACAGAGTCGGACACAACTGAAGCAGCTTAGCACTCAGCACACAGGTCCTAATGAACACAAACACATATGCATGTGCTTAAGTAGCTCTTTTAGGATGCAGTTTTAGAAGCAAAATTGCTGAGTAAGAGAATTTTGGCACTTTCCGTTGTGTATGTTTTACCAAATTGACTCACAAAAGAGGCTTCCTCATCTGCATTTCCTCCCACAGTGTGTGATGAGAGCCTCTTTCTCTGCTTCCTCATCCATGATTTTGAGGTTTTTAAAAAATGTACTTGCATGTGTTATCAACCCTGCAGAGATTAAATTACAAAATATCTCTAGAACTTACTGTTCTTGTTGGTCATTACAGGTGATGCTGTTTGGTTGGTGGTTTCGGTGTTCGTTTTGTTTTCTTTAATGTTTGGTTTGGTTTTTATGGCAAATATGAAATCTTTGGAAGCAGTCTGAAAAGCGTTGCATTGAAAGGACATTAAATTATTGACATGAAGCTTTTTTTTTTTTCTCTTTTTCAGGATAGGATGGGGCTAACCTACATTGTCTGTATTAACCTTAGACAATTTAAATGCTACCTAAATTTTTTAAATTAATTCATTTATTTTAATTGGAAACTACTTTACAATATTGTCATGGTTTAAATGGTAGATAAATATTTTAATGATGATAGTTATAATGAAGTTTTGATTTTTTCTGTTCATCAGTGCTGATAAAGTATTTATTTTAACACTCATCTGCCATTGCAGACAAGCATGAAGCTAAATTAAAAGGAGTAATATACTTTCAAGCCATTGAAGAAGTATATTATGATCACCTCAAGAATGCTAATAAGGTAAGCATTGAAATTTCAGCTTCCCATGATTTGAATGCATAAGTTGGGGTGAGACTTTCCCAAAGGTCCAGTGGTTAAAACTCCACGCTTCTACTGCAGGGCCAGCCGGTTTGACTCCTGGTGGGGAACTAAGCCCACATGGCGCATGGTCAAAAAAAAGTCGGGTGAAAGAGGGAGTTAGTGCATGCTTATGAGGAAACGTCAAGGAAACATCTTAGTAAGACAAAGAGTAGCATTTATTGAGCTATTTTTGGAGCACTCACCATAGGTGCCCCTGCTAGAACTTTACAAAGTATCTGCCAAAATGACTGGTGAGCTCACTGTGAGAGTTCTCATGCAAAAAGGCCAGAAAGATGGTCAATCTTGAGAAAGGTGTTGAGGGCAAGACTGTAGGTTATGTTAGAGCAAAAGTAATGGCTACATAGATTGCTATAAATTGAAAGTTTTAAAGAGGAAGAAGCTCTCACATATCTCTGTGTTATATTTAATGTTGTAATTGCAATGTATTTGCTTTACATTCTTTTCCTTTCTTGATTTTCTTTCTAGAGTCCTAATCCTTTACTTACCTTTAGTGTCAAGACACATGACAGAATCTACTACATGGTGGCCCCATCGCCAGAAGCCATGCGAATCTGGATGGATGTCATAGTGACTGGGGCAGAAGGTTACACTCACTTCTTGTTGTAGTGAACTGACACGACTTCAGGGCAGACTGCAATAATCTCTTACAAGAATGAAGCCATATCAACACCAGATGGACAGACCCAACAGACCCATCCCTTTAACTGTGGATACTCAGAACTGCTTTCACATTAACAGGAAGTCATTTGTAAAAGAGAAAGAAGGGGTTTTAATTCAAAGCTTTATCATAAATAATTCAAAGCTTGATCATAAACAGCAAAAGAATTGCCTATGAGAAAGAAAATATTCTTTTGGTAAATAGCACCACTTATAGGAACATTTCTTATAAACTCTTTATATCAATTGTTGATTTTGATGAAATAAACTAGTTTACAAAATGTCTGTATGTATTTGGAAAATATGAAATTATTTTAGCACCCAAATCATTGGTGGCATTGACGTTATTGGTAATCAACTGGCTTTTTTTTAAAGGAGTGTTTTATGGAAGGTTATTTTATAAATATTAAAATAAACAAATAAGGGCTTGGAAAGGGAGTATATTGTAGGAGGAGTTTGGCCCTAATTTTTAAGTACTACACCAAAACCAAAGACTTGACATGACCTCTGCTGAACAGTAGTAGTTATGAACTGCATTTAATGTTACTCTGCATTTTAAAATGGTACTTTGATGCCAACAAGTGCCCAGGAAGTTGACTTTGAAGAGTCACCACCAGCATAAGCTACTGTACATACATAGCAAACACTTTGTAAAAGAAGAACAAAAAGCTGTGTGTTTTAGGAAGAAGCAGTCTTAGACATTCTATCATACTGGGCAATTTAAAATAAAGAGAATATTTAGCTTCAGCTGTTTTGCCGATGATTTCTCCATTCCCAGTGCTGAGAATAAAGGCAACAGGAGCTGATTTCCTTTAGACTGTCCAACTTCTCTTTGTTGTAGAGTACTCGTGTTAACTGCACCCTCACATGATGTAACTATGAAATAAAGCTCTGTTTTCACCAAAGAGCAGACCAATCAGAATACTTATTTTCCAAAGTATTGTAGTTCTATTCAGAGGCACATGAAGTTCACCTTAATGTTCTCTGTGATGTACTATTTTATGTTTTTTCTTCACAGTTAGCTTTTGTTTTTTAGAGTTCAGTTAATTTGTATTGAATGAAATGACTTCAGGCAAGTCCTTTTGTAACAGCTTTTCAAATGCCATTTATCCTGGTTTATCACGTTGTGTGTGTTATTAAGTATGAAGGTACTCTTTCCACTCATTGACAGAGGAATCGAAGTAGAAAATAATAATGTTACTTACTAGTAAAAATGAAATTATTAGATTAGAAGTGTCTATAAAATTTGTCAGGCCTGACTTGGTACAATTTTTTTTTTTAATTTGCAGTGGTTTGTATACATGTTGCCAATAATAAGATTTTGTGACTGGATTACACATGATGTTACTTGAACAGCGAAGGACAAAATCACAATTGCAGAAGACATTTCTATAATCTGTTTCTCCAGAGATCACCCCTAAACCCTGTGTGATCTAAGACAGTGAAGTACAAGTGCTGAACTTTTGTTGGTTAATGTAAAGATATAACTTTCTGAACTGTACTTTACTTTCTTCATAGGACTATAAAGATACTCTAATCAACTTTCTATCTTGCATGATGTAGTAAATGATTCAAATATGTGTGTCAAAATATGTTGAGTTTGGATTAAAATGTTGATCAGATTTCACATTCGAAAATAAACTCATTTTAATAGGAAGTTACCCATTGGTAGCATGACAAGGGATGGATTAATCAGCAGAAGTCAACTGTAGAATTGACATAAAGTTTGTGTGCTAGCTAACATTATGACTTGTAGTTTATAAACTGAAGTAATCAGATATGTCTCTGGTCACATTCCTGTTGCTAACAAAATGAGATAACCCCTGAGAAGTCTGACATCTTTAGTCTAGTTGCATCGATGCAATTATTACTGGGGATTGAAGGAGTGTGTTTACCTATCTTTCTCTCTGATGGGGGAAAAAATCGCGCAGGTATGAAGTTAGAGCTCTAAGGCTTTACTTAGCGGGGACCACATTTGTCTCCCTGAACTAAGGCAGCAGATTTCAGAGAAAACTGCCTTCAACAACACATCCTTTCACACATGTTAATGAAGGCAACATTGATAGTAGGTCAGTGGAAACAACGTTGTCTGCTTCAAGCCCATCACTGTCAAGAAAAGCATCTTCACTTGACGCCAGTCACAATTTTTGCTGCTGTGTTAAACTGATGAAGGTGGATGGAGAAAATGATTCCTGGGTTCATGGGTTTCTCTGGGGTTTTGTGTGTGTGTGCAGTGCCTTTCCCAGTATGAGAACAAGTAAAAATTTTTGTTCTGCTTCACATAAAATGCCAGAAGACATGCAAAAATAAAGGGAGAGAATAGGGACAGGAATGATTGAGAATATTTGGATTATCCAAAATCACAGTAACAAGTGTTTACTGTTAAGATACAATGGATGCTGAAGTGATGTGTGTCGCCGTAGTTGATTTTAGCCCCTTTGGAGTCGACAACAGGCTTAATGGAGAACCAGAGAAACAACTCAGCAGCTTTTGGGGAAAGCTGCTAAATCAAGCAGCTATCCTTGCTCTGTTTCTGGCATTATACCTCTCAAGGAAGAAATCTATTTTTTCATTTGTCCAACTTTCCTGGTGCCTTCTAATAGAATAGTTTCTCAAAACTCCAGAGATAAGCTGAATTCACTGTATCCAGCCTTTGCGTTTAACTCTAGCACCAGTCATTGCTCCAAAATTTATGACCAAGATAGTTAAGTGGCTTTACTCAGTCATAAACCAGCCACTGTAACTTTTGCATAGAAAACAAACAACAAGAAAAACAAGGTAGGTCTTTATTTGTTGATGCTTGAGGCCTCCAAGAATTGCTTTGAAGGACACCAGAGCTAGAATCCAGAGACCCTTGTACACAGTTTATTCAATCATATTTTTATTGGCCATTCCATTTTTCTTCTGTTTGCCTCTGAAAATGGTGCTCTAGCAGATAACATGCATCCTTATAAGCCGTTATTGTTTTCTATAGGATGGTCACAGATTGGAGCCATCGGGTCAAGCAGCATTGACAGGGATGCAAATTTTAAATTGTCACAGGTGATATTACTTGACAACAGAGTTTAGCAGTTTACTTTCTCACCATCCGTACATGAATGCCAGCTTGCCAATAATCGTTCTTTTTAACTTCTGCCAACATGAGGGGTAGGAAAAATGGCATGCTAATTTTTAACATTTAATGCATGTTATTATTTCAAGTTTTTCAATTAGTGAGGTTGATCATCAGGTTTACATATGTGAACTGCCTATCACAAATGTTGGCGGATTTTGTTGGAATTACATATTTTTTCTACCAATTTCTGGGAGCAGGCTAAACAGAAGTATTAATATTTTGTTATCCACACAGTAAATCAATTTCACTATATGTTTTTATTCTTTTTTATTCCAGGGGTTTCAAATCTTGCTTTAAAAAGTTCCTTTTATCTATACTATATTCTCCGAAAATGTATTTGATCCTCTCGGTTTTATTCTTTCATTGAGGTGATTTAGCTACTGGAATTTACCTTTGCACACAGTATGAGGGAGTGTTTGTTAGTCCTGCCCGACTCTTTTCGACCGCCTCGACTGTAGCCCACCAGGCTCCTCTGTTCATAGAATGCTCCAGGCAAGGATACTGGAGTGGGTTGCCATTTCCTTCTCCAGGGGATCTTTCCAACCCAGGGATCGAGCCCACCTCTCCCACATTGGAAGCAGATTCTTCACCACCTGAGTCACCTGGGAAATATGAGAGACGGGTCTTAATAATTCAACAGTCTGACCTACGAAGAGCTAGAACAAAAACAAATTGAAAAGGGGCAAAGAAGCAGCAAAAGTTCAATTCCACTCCAGGCGTTTATCCAAGCATGATTAAGGTCAGAATTTGGAAACATTCCCCATAAAAGTCAATGTATTGAAAGGTTGTTGCTGTATCAAAAGATTCCAGGATTCTTGGCCTCCAGCAGAGAAGAATTTAATATGGGACCAGTGATGAGGCTTGATCGCTCAGAGCTTTTGTGTCATAAAGTTTTATTAAAGTTTAAAAGAGATAGAGAAAGCTGCTGNAGTCCCTTAGACTGACTGCAAAGAGATCCAACCAGTCCATCCTAAAGGAGATCAGTCCTGGCTGTTCATTGGAAGGACTGATGCTGAAGCTGAAACTCCAATAGTTTGGCCACTTGATGTGAGAAAGTGACTCATGGGAAAAAACCTGATGCTAGAAAGATTGCAGGAGGGAGGAGAAGAGGACGCCAGAGGATGAGATGGTTGGATGGCATTACTGACTCGATGTATATGAGTTTGAGTAAACTCTGGGAGTTTTGAAGGACACGGAGGCCTGGCGCGCTACAGTCCATGGGGTCGCAAAGAGTCAGACACAGCGACTGAATTGAACTGAACTTAATTAGAGAAAGGAAATAGCTCAAAATTCAGAGACTGGCACCGGGTCCCTCACCCACAACATGCATTTTGAGATAACTCCTTGGAAAACACGGTGATGCTGGGAAACATTGAAGGCAGGAGAAGCGGACAACAGAGGATGAGATGGTTGGATGGCATCACCAACTCGTTGGACGTGAGTCTGAGCTAGCTCTGGGGGTTGGTGATGGTCAGTGGAGCCTGGCGTGCTCCATGGGGCCCATGGGGTCGCAAAGAGTCGAACGCGACTGAGGGACTTAACTGAACTGAAACCTCCCCACAGAAGAGCCCAGCAGAAACACGCTCTAAGAGCGACGACACTCTGCGCATGTGCGCTCTCCGGGGTGGAAACTCCGGCCCGGGCTGTTTACCAATTTGCGCGGCCAGGCGGCGGCGCATGCGTACCTGGGCTTCTGGGCGCAGTGCGCATCTCAGTAGGCGGGCGCAGGGCGCAGGGGCTGCTGGGAAGATGGCGGGGGTGGGCCTGGCTTCCGTGGCCGCTTGGGTTCCTTCTCGCAGGTGGGGCTGGGCGGCAGTCACCTTCGGCTTCCGCCATGGTCTCAGCATGTTACTTGCACGGAAGACCGAGCGGGCGCCGCAGTGGTTCCGAGGTCAGTGTCCGAAAGACTGGAGTAAGACGCGTTCTTTCGAACATACCGGATTTCGGCGGTTCCTGACCCGTGCGTTTTTGGCGCTCCGTTCAGAAATCCTCTTTCCAGATTCTCAGTATCCCAGTTCTTTTTACAAATCTGATGAAGGTAGTGAGAGAGCTCTGCCAGGCCCCAGGGTATCCTGACAGCCCGGGCAGTGGTTGGCGTTATGCTCTGTAGTTCAAGGTTTCTCTCTGCCCACCTCCCCTGTGTTAAGCGCCAAGACTAGCAAAAATTCAGATGTGCATTTAATATGTTTGCTTATTAATTGCTTTATCTTTTCTGTGCACGTTCTAAGGGGTTTACAGATCGTGACTGTTAGTTGCTTAGACCTGCTCTCCTTCGAGCAATTTTACAGGAAGGTTTTACATGTTCTTTGTAAAAGTGTAAACTTTTGCGTTTTTTGGTGGTTTTGGGTCTTCCCGCCCCAACCCGGTCTCCAAGATTCCAGCCCTGTAAAAATCATAGCCATTACTCTACAAAGGAAGTTAGAATTTGGACAAGAATTACAGCCCCTGAATATTTCTTTGTGCTTGATTCTTCTCCGGCTCATCCCACCTCCACTCCCCCATATATATAGCCTGTCTTTCTGAATTATGTCGTTTTGTTTTGGGGTTCATACCCTTGCACCCCAGCTGTCAGATGCATGGTGCTTGAAACGGGGACTGTCTTTGTAAATACCCTTGTTCTGAGTTAAAATGTTTAAATATGTAGCCGACTTAATTGTGCACCGAAAGGCTGCTACGTATGTCCCTCCTGCGAAGTATAGTGTGTCGTTGGGTAACTAAAGTATAATTCTCTTTCACTGTTTAGTAGTTTCGCTGAAGATATAGGCCTCAGATTTTGAGCTAATTCTTACAGTACAACGATCATTTATGGATATTATGTTAAGAAGATGACCATTTATAACTCATCAAGATTTGAATAAATTGTGATCGTCTCATGGAAAATTTCCTGTTGGAAAGTAAAATGCAAAAGAGGATAGGAAGGCGTTTTTGAGTGCTAAAAAAATGGGAAAAGAACATTTTTGCTGCTACAATCTGTCAGTCTGCATTACTGGCTCCTACTTACCTTGTTTTTCACTAAAAGTTTTAAATTTGGCATATTTCACTATGCGTTGAAACTCTGAAGCAAGCCTATGTGTAAAAGGGATAGCTTTAAGGCCTTCAATTCAGTGTTTAAAAAATCAACTTCTCAAATCCAAAATGAGGAAAACTTTATTAGCTCACATCGAAGAAACTGTGAAGTTTTAATTAGCCACAATAGAGAAAGGTTTCAAGAAATAAAAAAGAGATTTCATTAGTCCAGGAAAAGAGTGTTAAGGGACTACACAAATCTGATTTCTCTGGAGGGAGAAAATGGGATTATAAATGACTTTTTGTTTTTAAACATCGTTCTACATTTTTTAAGAGCAAGTATTGACTTTATGGCCTCCCAGGTAGTGGTCACCGTATAAAGAATCTGCCTGCCGATGCAGGAGATGCAAGAGATGGGTTCAGTCCCCAGTTCAGGAAGATCCCGTGGAGGAGAAAATCGCAACCCACTCCAGTATTCTTGCCTGGAAAATTCCATGGCCAGAGGA